AATAGCTCAGGAACTCCGAAATTAGTAACAGGAACACATTTCACAAGAATTACTGAATACAGTTATTGACCAATATTGCTTACGTTTGAGATCAAACTTTCAACTGGTGCATTTACCTGTGTGATGCAGGCTAATCAAGAACTATTTTCAAACCTTGGAACTGTGTGATAAGCAGCTAGTACTGCTACTGATTGCCACTCCTGAATGGCACATGCCAGTGCCTTTACCCTCAGTAAATGGCTAGTGCCACTCCTGAAAAAATAATAAATAACGTTAAAACCAAGAACACAAGCCTGCGTTCCTCTTGTCTTGTTTAATAAATACGCTGATAAATAGTCTATACATTAGATTTAGCATGATTAACACCACAATGAATTCAGTAATTAGTTCGAGTAAATCTGTAACACGAGCTGCTTTCTTCAGCTCTCCGTGCCACAACAAAAGCCCAAAATGACAGACTATCTGCACAGAGTCTTTAGGTCAACATTCCTCCATGACTTTTCCCAGGTTCTGATGGTCGATGGTGGAGCTATGATGTGCTGCTAGTTAGCCCAGCCGAGTAGCCGCTGTCCAGAGTCTTTGCTTTACTCACAGGAGCTGTTGGTATGTGACTGTTTTGAGAGGCACACGCCGTTTTTGTGTGGCAGGTGCCACTGGCGAGTGCCACTAACCGAGTGGCATGAGCGGCATGTGCCACTCGTTACCAGTTGTCGGTGTCAGGTGCCATTCGCTAAGTGGCACATGCCAGTACGTGCCATTTCCGGACGGCGGAGTTGCCACTTCCTGCTGCCAGATGACACTTTGGGACTGAACCCCTGCAGCTCGTTTAGCTGCCTAGAGAGTGATGGCAGAATATCTCACTCTGTATGCGCGCACCTGTACGTCTTTGTGTGGAAGTGCCTTAGTCCAAAGCTTTGGAGTTGGCTCTCAATTTGAAAATGCAAATCAGAGAATCGACTCTTTTTAGGGTCGACTCCCAGCCTTGGAGACAAGTTATTAAAGTCATCCTGGGTTCAAGGGATTTGACCGTTGTGTTGCTTGGAAGCCACAGCCTTTGCGCAAAAGTTGTTTATTATGATCATTATTAACAATGAATTCAAATATTCATTGAACACTGGTGCATTTTAGTACATCTTGTTTTGTCACATGGAGGCTCACACACCTTCCCAGTGACAAAATCACAGTATCGAACAGCCTCTCGTGGCTTATATCTTTTATAAAAAGAAAAAAAAATAATTTACGGTTTTATTAATATTTTATTAATATAGACATAAGCAAGTATTCCGCCAAGAAATGTAGTTCCTTTAGCGTATGGTATCGTTGCCAAGCAACCATGGACCTCGCTGGGGTGAATCTCAAATAACTCCCTGCCCCCTACATAGTGCACTACGTAGGAATTTAATTACTGGCCCCTGCACCACAAAAGTGCATAATAGTAATTTGGGATTCAGTCACACCCACAGTCGACAAATAGTAGACTGTTTGGCTGTAGAAGCGAGAATTTCAAAAGTTACATAGCTAGCTCACTACACCTAGCTAGGGAGTTTGGAGCCGTTTGAGACTCCACCTGGGTTTGACGCTACTTCTGACTGAAACACGGACATTTTAAGAGTGTCATATCCTAAGTACTTTAATTCAAGCATGTCATATCAATGATGAAGTTGTTTATCTTTCAGCTTGTTAGCTAGTTGGTTCTTTCTTTATCAGTACAGTCGGTGGTCCACGCGAGCTGCATTAGAGTCAAAGATTAATCCGTTACAGCGCAAGGCTTTTTCGTGGCGCAGTAATACAGAATTCAGTTGTTGTGATGCTGCCGTAGACGTGCATGTATTTTACAACGGCTTCGAACGCAGCTCAGCCAATCAGATTTCAGGGCGGGAACTGGCCGTTGTGAAAAAAGTGATTTTAACAAGCTTATGAGAGTTTTAGCGACTTCATTTAAATGTACATTAAATTAAGTTTAACGTTAGCGGTGAATTTGAATTTAAATCTTAATTGAAATATACATATATTGAGAGAATGAAGTGCAGAAATTGGGCTTTCCACTGTTGTTTAGTGCGTCATCCTGCTTTGGTTATCCTGCCCCCTCCGCACCGGTGGGTACATGTAACTAGCTAAACAGTGAAAGCTTTAGTTTTTTAATCTACCAACTACGTCGACTGTAAGTAAAACGTGGGTGAAAAGGCATTGGTAAGATTTCATTAAGGTTTTTTTTTTTCTTTTTAAAGATTTACAAACATAATAAAGCTACAATACTAGCACTCGGCAAGTGTACCAGTTTAGAGTTGCCTAGAGTGGTTGACCAGCTAGTTAGCTAGCTGGCGAGCTAATGCTAAAACTGACTGTTAGGTTAACTAACCACAAGTAATTTAACAGAGATGCCATTTGTTGCTTATAGTGACAATGGTTGACAATAGTTGTAGTACAGTGTAATCCACAAGCTACAAGCCTAGCTACCAAGCTTCTTTTGAGTTTATGAAGGATATAATTGTTATTATTTAGCTAGGGTAGTTAGTTACTCATATATTTCCTTCAGTTCAGGTTTTTAGGTTTGGTTTTGTAAGGAACCCTAGTGGAAAAGATACTAGCTAGTAGTGATACTACAGAAATTTGTTAAGACCTTTTTAGTAAATCCAGTCATTTAGATAATATAGCTAGCTAGGTTACTACAGGGTGCTAACTTACACAGCAATCATACATCACCATCAGATCGTTCTACAGGAATATTTTATGGTGGCAAAAATATTATAGACTCTTACAGAAGCATTATATAATACTACTATAGAAACCTAATAATTTGTTGAAATATTACTTCTTTTTGTAAGGGATCTATTAAAAAAAAAAATCTGATTCTGAGGCACATTACGGTTATACTTTGTGGAGTAACTGAAGAGGTTTTTCCAAAGCGCATTATAGACCACTTTCAAGAATTTTCTTTTTTCATGATATACATTGTTGGGAGAGGCCTTTAAACATATAAGAAATATCGATGTTGTAATATGATTGATACCACATTTATTAGAGAAACAAAAATGTTTTCCATTATACATCAGCTGTTATTCTTTTAAGAAAAAAACTCCACCCTATCCAAATTTGTTACTAAAGAATATACAGCATTTTGTAATGTGACTCTTGAACTAGTTACCGTTCCATAAAGAACATTTTGGAGAAGTTTTTATGTAGAACTTATTTTGAAAATTTGCTCTGAAGAGCCAATTAGAGTTCTTATAAGAACGTTTTAAAGAGTTAAAATAAAACAAAGAACCGAAGGAACCAAAGATAATTTCTTTTTTTTGTTCTTTGCCATTGCTCTAAAAAAAACTTTTTGGCACTTTTAAGAATAAGACAACAGCTGACTTTCTGCTTTAATGTCAAATTGTGAAAACAGTGCAGAGCCAAAGCAACAAATGGCATCTCTGTTAAATTACTTGTGGATCACACTGTACTACAACTATTGTCTCAGAAATTTATTAGGTAGATTCTAGTGTATTAAAAGCACACTTAGCCAAATTCTTGTCAAACATGATTTAGTTTTGAGAAGAAGTTCACTGTTATCATCTGTACATGGGAGAGTGCTGGGTACAACTGTGAATAACAAAGGACAGAAAGTATAAATTCAGGTTTTGAGAATATATTGCAGGGAAATAACAGTGGAAGATGTTGACGTATTAGTCATAAAGAGAGAATTGAGAAGTTGTAATTGCAGTTGCACCATCAGCCTCAACGCTAGCATCATTTGCATCAGCTCCTTTGGAACACCAGGGGTTTGGGTTTTAAATAAAATGAATTGATTGATTTGCATGCATCTTTGTTTTTAGGGCGAACGTGCTAATGGGTCTAAAGGTTCAGAAAACAGTTTGCATGTCTTTTTCTTTTTTTCTTTTTTTGGAACTGGTTGCATCTGCAGATCTGACGTGGCAAGTTGTTTGTTTTATTAGGTATAACTGACAATAAATAGTATATAACGCAGAAGGTGTAGATCTTTCGATGTCACTGTGACATAGGAAGCAAGTTTGCAAAACTTGAGATGCAGATTATGCAATTTTGTGTAAAACTACTGCTGTTTTATCATGTTACTTCCATTATGCCAAGTAAGTCTTACACTCATGCCGCTGGATGCCTTAGAGCTTGAACTTCTTTTGCATGCAGCTGACAGCACCTACTGTCGTGACTGGGACTTCAAAGATGCATTTGGATAGCAAAGTGACAACTTTGCCCCAGGCTGATTCAGATCAGGTCATAAGAAAGGATTTGTTGAAGTTATGTAACCCACTATAAATTACTGTTACTAAACTGCTCTTGAACTGGTTACCTGAGCAAAAAATGACCCTTTAGAGTATTTTGCTGTCCTTTATGTTGAAAGCTGTTATTGAAAACCGTGAAATACACAACAAAATACCTATATACCATAAAATGTCTTATTTGAAATTGTTTATTTTTAAATGAAATTCGAAATGTAAAAAACAGATAACTCTGTTTTCTCCAACTGCACACATAACTTAGTGCCTTTGGAGGTAACATTGGAGGAACTTTGCCCAGTTTAAGTCAGTTAGTTAATTGCCAGAAGGCTATCAAGTTCAAACTAGTCCATAACGGTTGTGAGAACTTCCTAAGGGGTTTAATCAGCCTGGGGTCAGAAGCTTCCCCACCCTTGAGTACCCTATAAAACCAAGCACTCACATTGTGAGACTCATTCTGTGCTTACAGAATCTCGTGCTTGAGTGTATCAGCCCTTCTTGCTTCCTGCTTCCTCCTCAACAATAGTTTTATAATGAAACGAGGCCATCATTGCGGCTCCCACCATGGCTCGCACTCTGAGCGCCATTCCCACCATGGCTCGCGCTCTGAGCACCATTCCCACTGCGGCGAGCGTGGCGAGCACCAGTCCCACCATGGCTCTCACACTGCCGAGCACTTCCATCGTGGCCACCACTCCCACCATGCGGCACACGGCGTCGGGGACTTCCACCATGGCTTGCATGCCGCTGGGCACTTCCACCATGGCTGGGCTGCTGGTCACCATTCCCACCACTCTGGCTTTCAGCAGGTCTTCAACCTTGTAAGTGTGATCATTTGTATTGTCTATTTTGCAGTGATTCCCAACCTGGTCCACATGGCCCACCAGATGGACCACCTTTTTACTCCAAACAACTTGCAACACATAAAGATGATGGCAAAATGTGGACTGTCTGGGGGCCCTGAGGACCAGATTGGGAACCACTGGTCCATTGTATTGGTAGAATGCTTTTGGGATGAGAAAACCCCTTTTTTAGCACTTAGCAGTATTGTTTTGGATGCCAATGTATATTTAATTTTTTGCTGTTTTATGTTTATTTTCAGTATTGCAACTAAGTACCTGTGTGAGTGAATAAGTGTATGCAAATGTGTTAGTTTCAATTGAAATGCTTAAGCAATAAGCATTTTGTAATGATGCTTAGGCAACACTGTTTTTCAGACTAATCAACATCTATGCTATCTCATCTATGCTATCTCCCACTTCTCTCTGGTTATGTTTATTAGTTTTGTGGTATGCAACCTACATATATGTGTTAAAAATGTAATCTTTGGATTTCAATAAATATTTTTCATTTATCAGTGATAAGCATAAGTCCTCAAGGACCTTGAACATTTTGACATTTTAGTGAATTTTTTGATTCAGCATATCCTGCATTAATTGATTTTGAGTGATTATTTTTTGCTGACCACAGAAAACTCCCTATGTCAGCCCAGTCCTTGGAGGTCTAATTCCAGGAAAAGCTTTGTTCTTCCAAGGGATTGTTCCAGAAGATGGAAAGGAGTAAGCTTTTAAAATATGCAAACTGACAAACACTGCAAAGAAAACTACACATAATACAATTACAAAAGCATCACAAAAAACAGAATTACAGAATAAGATCATGTGTTCATCATTAAGAGCCTCAATTTGTATGGTTTTCTTCTGTTTTCTTTATGACAGGTTTGAGATAAATCTTAAGACTGGACAGGCTAAAGGGGATGACACTGCTTTTCATTTCAAGCTCTTCACTGGCAAGAAAGTGGTCATGAACAGCTTCAGGAATGGGAAATGGGAGAATGAGGAATCAGCCACAGACAAGCCCTTTACCAAGAGAGCCCCATTTACTATGTTTTTTGTGATAAAACCCGAGGGTTATGAGGTGTGTTTTTTATATGAAGTTATGAATATACTATCTACAAGCCAAAAGGTACATAGAAATGATAAAAAAAAAAAAAATTAACATGTTCATGCAGGTATATGTAAACGGATCTCAGCACTACATGTTCAAGCACCGCATACCCTTGGAGAAAGTGTCTGCAATTGACGTCCGTGGAGATGTGACTATGAATGCCTTTCATGTCACTGAAGTAAGTGATTTTTTGTGTTTTTTGTTGTAATTTCCTATAGCAAAATCTGACAATGAGAACAACATGAAAAAGTAGCTTTGAGTTTAAGGTTTACTTTTGATGGTTTCACCTTGCTTCAGAATTGGAGCACTTCTTCCTTCTTTACGGAACATCTGACAACTACACACTCAGAGATTGCATTTCCAGTCACCAACCCTGTAAGTTAAACAGTGCCTTTAATGGAATTGAAAATCAGGACAAAATGTGTGAAAATACAATTTAAAGGCGGTTGCAGCTATATGTGGATGTGATGGATCAGTAATTTTGTGGATTCTTTTATTTATTTATTTTTTTTACAGAAAATTCCCTATGTGGGTGCAGTCTCTGGTGGGATAAGACCAGGAATGGCTGTGTATTTCCAAGGGATTGTTCCTCAAGAGGCTAAGCAGTATGTTGTTATATTGTTCACATTTAGTCCACTACAAAGCTAGAACGTGGGAAGTAGGGGTGCTGAGGCAGCTGCAACATCCCCAAATGTCAGGCTTTATTAAATACAACCACTAAAATCAACTACAGGAAAATAAGCAAGCAATAAAAAATTTAGATAGTTGAGCATAACAAATAAGCAAATGTAACTTTTGTAAGTTGGAGTTTATATTTTTATTAATATATGTTCAAAATCTGTTGTAGGCTATTTCTGTGCCTCAACGTGGATTTTTAGAAACTTTGCAATTTATCATGCAAAGCAATCACCTCCCATTCCTGTCCATTTTTTCTACCAGTATAACAATTTTCCACTAGATACAACTCATTCATGGGCATGACACAAGCTTATTCCACAAAAAAGCAATCTGATTGGTTTTTGCTTTGCTCATTTTCATAAAATTTGTCCTGCAAAACAGAGCAGGGACAGCAGGGTGCGCATCAGCAGTTGCTGTGTCAGTTAATTGTCCATGTCTCTCACCACAGTAATACACTCTGTTTTATGTAAATTAGCCAAACAATTGGGAAAAAACATGCAATTATCATGAGGTTATGGTATACTTCACCTATACGATGCAAAAAAAAATCAGTACTTCCAACTTGAAACAACTTCTCGTATCCCTGCTGCAAAATGCACCTATAAATTCTACAGTTAATTAAGACATAATGTACAGAATACATTAATTTTGCAGTTTAAGTCTTTACCATAAGTGCTTCTCACCAAATTTTAGTTATATCACATTCAGTAATGCTTATAAAGTTTTATGGTTTACTTCTGTTTGTTGTTCACAGATTTGAGATCAATCTCAAGATTGGACAGGCTCCAGGTGATGACACGGCCTTTCATTTCAGCCCCCGCATTGGTGAGAGAGTGGCCCTGAACAGCTTCAGGAACGGTGGATGGGAAAGTGAGGAATCAGCCTCAGACAAACCTTTCACCAAGGGAGCACCCTTTAACATGTTTTTTCTGATTAAACCTGAGGGCTATGAGGTGTGTTTTCCTGTTACCTTGGAAATAAACAATTAATTAAAAAAGGAATATATACATGATAGGAAGAAACTTTGCTATGTTTGTGCAGGTATATGTAAATGGCTTTCGACACTGCATGTTCAAGCACCGCATACCCTTGGAGAAAGTGTCTGCAATTGACATTCGTGGACATGTGAACATAAACCTCTTTGGTTTCATTAAAGTAAGTGATTTGTTTTTCTATTTTGGAGAAATGTTACTGTAAGAAAATGTTCTGTATTTTAAAAGAAAATCTTTAAATAAATGCATTTACTTTATTATTGAAATCATGCTTGATGGTATTACCGTCCCTCAGAACTGGAGCACTTCCTCCTTCTTTAAGGAGCTCGAGACCACGCACCCAGAGATTTCACATCCAGTCAGCAAACCTGTAAGTTCAACAGCACCTTAAATGGGATTGAAAATCAGGACAAAATGTGTAAAAATACATTTTGTGGCTGTTGCAGCTGTATGTGGATGTTTAAATCAATAATTTTGTGGATTTTTTTTTTTTTCTTGTAACAGAAAATGCCCTATGTAGGCGCAATCTCTGGTGGGATCAGACCAGGAATGGCTTTGTATTTCCAAGGGACTGTTCCTCAAGAGGCTGAGAAGTATGCTGTCTCAGTGTTCACATTAACTACACTACAGATCAGGGACGTGGGAAGTAGGGGTGCTGAGGTGGCTGCAGCGTCCACAAATGTCAGGCCTGATTAACTGCAAACACAAGAACAATAACAGGGAAAAAAAACAAACAACAAAACTTTTCAATATTTTAAATATAACAAATACCCAAATGTACTTTTTGTAGGATGGAGTTCTTATTTTTATTTCATTTCATTTATATATGTTCATAATCTACTGTGGCTGTGCACTGTGTCAGTTAATACTGCATTTTAAAGTCAAGGGATTCGCTTCCCTCACCACCTGTTGGCCAGTCTGGGGGTGTGTTGATCAAACAAAAGCAGGAGTTGTAGGGTATTTTTCTGACTCGATACATTGTAATGTTTTTAAAATTCACAATTTATCAGGCAAAGCAATCATCTCCAACTCCCATTTCTTTTTTCCTACTACTATAATAATCTTCTGCTACATGACAGCTTGACTATGGGTGTGACACAAGCTGATTCCACAAATAAGCAATCTGACTGGTCTTCGCCATGCTCATTTTTATAAAGTTTATTTTGCAAGACAGTGAAGGGACATCAGGGTGCGCATCAGCGGTTCCTTTGTCGGTTATATGTGCATGTCTCACCATAATAATACGCTCTCTATCATGTAAATTATCCAGACAATTGGGAAAAAAACAGGTATTTAGCATGATGTCATGGTACACTTCACCTATACAATGCCAAAAAATTCAGCACTCCCAACTTGAGACACATTCTCACGTCCCTGCTTCAAAGCACACTTATAAATTCTGCAGTTATTAAGATATAAACTCCAGAAGTTGTGTATTCTGGACATGAAGTCTTTACCATAACTGCTTATAACTGAAGTCCAGTTCCATTACATTCAGTGATGCTAATAAAGTTATATGTTTTACCTACGTGTGTTGTTCACAGATTTGAGATCAATCTCAAGACCGGACAGGCTCCAGGTGATGACACGGCCTTTCATTTCAGCCCCCGCATTGGTGAGAGAGTGGCCCTGAACAGCTTCAGGAACGGTGGATGGGAAAGTGAGGAATCAGCCTCAGACAAACCTTTCACCAAGGGAGCACCCTTTAACATGTTTTTTCTGATTAAACCTGAGGGCTATGAGGTGTGTTTTCCTGTTACCTTGGAAATAAACAATTAATTAAAAAAGGAATATATACATGATAGGAAGAAACTTTGCTATGCTTGTGCAGGTATATGTAAATGGCTTTCGACACTGCATGTTCAAGCACCGTATACCCTTGGAGAAAGTCTCTGCAGTTGACATTCGTGGACATGTGAACATAAACCTCTTTGGTTTCATTAAAGTAAGTGATTTGTTTTTTCTATTTTGAAGAAATTTTACTTTAAGAGTGTTCTACATTTTAAAAGAAAATCTTTAAATAAATGCATTTACTTTATTATTGAAATCATGCTTGATGGTATTACCGTCCCTCAGAACTGGAGCACTTCCTCCTTCTTTAAGGAGCTCGAGACCACGCACCCCAGAGATTTCACATCCAGTCAGCAAACCTGTAAGTTCAACAGCATTGAAAATCAGGCCAAAATCTGTAAAAATACATTGTGTGGCTGTTGCAGCTGTATGTGGATGTTTAAATCAATAATTTTGTGGATTTTTTTTTCTTGTAACAGAAAATGCCCTATGTAGGCGCAATCTCTGGTGGGATCAGACCAGGAATGGCTTTGTATTTCCAAGGGACTGTTCCTCAAGAGGCTGAGAAGTATGCTGTCTCAGTGTTCACATTAACTACACTGCAGATCAGGGACGTGGGAAGTAGGGGTGCTGAGGCGGCTGCAGCGTCCACAAATGTCAGGCCTGATTGACTGTAACCACAAGAACAATAACAGGAGCAAAAAAACAAACCAAAAAACGTTTAAATATTTTAAATATAACAAATACCCAAATGTACTTTTTGTCGGGTGGAGTTTGTATTTTTATTTCATTTCAGTTATATATGTTCATAATCTGCTGTAGCTGTGCACTGTTTCTGTTAACGCTGCATTTTAGAGTGAAGGGATTCGCTTCCCTCACCACCTGTTGGCCAATCTGGGGGTGTGTTGATCAAACATAAGCAGGAGTTGAAGGGTATTTCTCTGTCGATACATTGTAATGTTGTTTTTAAAACTTACAGTTTATCAGGCAAAGCAATCATCTCCGACTCCCATCTCTTTTTTTCTACTAGTATAATAATCTTCCGCTACATGGCAGCTTGACTATGGGTGTGACACAAGCTGATTCCACAAATAAGCAATCTGACTGGTCTTCGCCATGCTCATTTTTATAAAGTTTGTCCTGCAAGACAGTGAAGGGACATCAGGGTGCGCATCAGCGGTTGCTGTGTCGGTTATATGTGCATGTCTCTAACCATAATAATACGCTCTCTATCATGTAAATTATCCAGACAATTGGGAAACAAACAGGTATTTAGCATGATGTCATGGTACACTTCACCTGTACAATGCCAAAAAATTCAGCACTCCCAACTTGAAACACATTCTCACGTTCCTGCTTCAAAGCGCACTTATAAATTCTGCATTTATCAAGATATAAACTCCAGAAGTTGTGTATTCTGGACATGAAGTCTTTACCATAACTGCTTATAACTGAAGTCCAGTTCCATTACATTCAGTGATGCTAATAAAGTTATATGTTTTACCTACGTGTGTTGTTCACAGATTTGAGATCAATCTCAAGACTGGACAGGCTCCAGGTGATGACACGGCCTTTCATTTCAGCCCCCGCATTGGTGAGAGAGTGGCCCTGAACAGCTTCAGGAACGGTGGATGGGAAAGTGAGGAATCAGCCTCAGACAAACCTTTCACCAAGGGAGCACCCTTTAACATGTTTTTTCTGATTAAACCTGAGGGCTATGAGGTGTGTTTTTTGCTTTAACTAGAGGAAAATCAATTTATGAAGCAAAAAGGAATACATCTATCATAAAAAGACACTTTGCTATATTTGTGCAGGTATATGTAAATGGCTTTCGACACTGCATGTTCAAGCACCGCATACTCTTGGAGAAAGTCTCTGCAATTGACATTCGTGGAAATGTGACCATGAACCTGTTTGGTTTAATTACCGTAAGTGATTTGTTTTTCTGTTTTGGAGAAATGTTACTGTAAGAAAATGTTCTGTATTTTAAAAGAAAATCTTTAAAGAAATGCATTTACTTTATTATTGAAATCATGCATGATGGTATTACCTTACCTCAGAACTGGAGCACTTCCTCCTTCTTTAAGGAACTCGAGACCACGCACCCCGAGATTTCACATCCAGTGAGCAAACCTGTAAGTTCAACAGCATGAAAATCAGGACAAAATGTGTAAAAATACATTTTGTGGCTGTTGCAGCTGTATGTGGATGTTATAAATCAATAATTTTGTGGATTTTTTTTTTCTTGTAACAGAAAATGCCCTATGTAGGCGCAGTCTCTGGTGGGATCAGACCAGGAATGGCTTTGTATTTCCAAGGGAATGTTCCTCAAGAGGCTGAGAAGTATGCTGTCTCAGTGTTCACATTAACTACACTGCAGATCAGGGACGTGGGAAGTAGGGGTGCTGAGGCGGCTGCAGCGTCCACAAATGTCAGGCCTGATTGACTGTAACCACAAGAACAATAACAGGAGCAAAAAAACAAACCAAAAAACGTTTAAATATTTTAAATATAACAAATACCCAAATGTACTTTTTGTCGGGTGGAGTTTGTATTTTTATTTCATTTCAGTTATATATGTTCATAATCTGCTGTAGCTGTGCACTGTTTCTGTTAACGCTGCATTTTAGAGTGAAGGGAATCGCTTCCCTCACCACCTGTTGGCCAATCTGGGGGTGTGTTGATCAAACATAAGCAGGAGTTGAAGGGTATTTCTCTGTCGATACATTGTAATGTTGTTTTTAAAACTTACAGTTTATCAGGCAAAGCAATCATCTCCGACTCCCATCTCTTTTTTTCTACTAGTATAATAATCTTCCGCTACATGGCAGCTTGACTATGGGTGTGACACAAGCTGATTCCACAAATAAGCAATCTGACTGGTCTTCGCCATGCTCATTTTTATAAAGTTTGTCCTGCAAGACAGTGAAGGGACATCAGGGTGCCCATCAGCGGTTGCTGTGTCGGTTATATGTGCATGTCTCTAACCATAATAATACGCTCTCCATCATGTAAATTATCCAGACAATTGGGAAACAAACAGGTATTTAGCATGATGTCATGGTACACTTCACCTGTACAATGCCAAAAAATTCAGCACCCCCAACTTGAAACACATTCTCACGTTCCTGCTTCAAAGCGCACTTATAAATTCTGCCTTTATTAAGATATAAACTCCCAAATTATGTATTCTGGACATGAAGTCTTTACCATAACTGCTTATAACTGAAGTTCAGTTCCATTACATTCAGTGATCCTGATAAAGTTATATGTTTTACCTCCGTATGTTGTTCACAGATTTGAGATCAATCTCAAGACCGGACAGGCTTCAGGTGATGACACGGCCTTTCATTTCAGCCCCCGCATTGGTGAGAGAGTGACCCTGAACAGCTTCAGGAGTGGTGGATGGGAGATTGAGGAATCAGCCTCAGACAAACCCTTCACCAAGGGAAAACCCTTCACCATGTTTTATGTGATTAAACCTGAGGGCTATGAGGTGTGTTCTTTGCTTTAACTAGAGGAAAAACAATTTATGAAGCAGACAGGAATACATCTATTATAAACAGACACTTTGCTATATTTGTGCAGGTATATGTAAATGGCTTTAAACACTGCATGTTCAAGCACCGCATACCCTTGGAGAAAGTGTCTGCAATTGACATTCGTGGAAATGTGACCATGAACCTGTTTGGTTTCATTAACGTAAGTCAATGTTTTTTCTGTTTTGGAAAAATTTTACTGTAACAAAAAGCCTTATAATACAAAAGAAAACCTTTAAACAAATATGTGTGGTTTACTACTGAAATCATGCTGTTGATATTACCTTCTTTCAGAACTGGAGCACTTCTTCCTTCTTCAAGGAACACGAGTCCACTGCACCCTCCAGTGTGTCAACCACGCCTCAGAGATTTCACATCCAGTGAGCAACCCTGTAAGTTAAACAGCACCTTTAATGGAATTGAATATCAGGCCAACATGTGTGAAAATACATTTTGTGGCTGTTGCAGATATATGTGGATGTAATGAATCTGTAATTTTGTGGATTTTTATTTTTCTTATAACAGACAGTTCCCCATGTGGGCGCAATCTCTGGTGGAATAAGACCAGGAATGGCTTTGTATTTCCAAGGGACTGTTCCACAAGAGGCTGAGAAGTATGCTGTTCTAGTGTTTACATGAACTATTCTACAGATCAGGGACGTGGGAAGTAGGGGTGCTGAGACGGCTGCTGCGTACCTATATATCAGGCTTGATTAACTGCAACCACAAAGACAATAACAGGAGCAAAAAAACAAACCAAAAAACGTTTAAATATTTTAAATATAACAAATACCCAAATGTACTTTTTGTGGGGTGGAGTTTGTATTTTCATTTCATTTCATTTATATATGTTCATAATCTACTGTAGCTGTGCACTGTTTCTGTTAACGCTGCATTTTAGAGTGAAGGGAATCGCTTCCCTCACCACCTGTTGGCCAATCTGGGGGTGTGTTGATCAAACATAAGCAGGAGTTGAAGGGTATTTCTCTGTCGATACATTGTAATGTTGTTTTTAAAACTTACAGTTTATCAGGCAAAGCAATCTTCTCCGACTCCCATCTCTTTTTTTCTACTAGTATAATAATCTTCCGCTACATGGCAGCTTGACTATGGGTGTGACACAAGCTGATTCCACAAATAAGCAATCTGACTGGTCTTCGCCATGCTCATTTTTATAAAGTTTGTCCTGCAAGACAGTGAAGGGACATCAGGGTGCCCATCAGCGGTTGCTGTGTCGGTTATATGTGCATGTCTCTAACCATAATAATACGCTCTCCATCATGTAAATTATCCAGACAATTGGGAAACAAACAGGTATTTAGCATGATGTCATGGTACACTTCACCTGTACAATGCCAAAAAAATCAGCACTCCCAACTTGAAACACATTCTCACGTTCCTGCTTCAAAGCGCACTTATAAATTCTGCATTTATTAAGATATAAACTCCAGAAGTTGTGTATTCTGGACATGAGTCTTTACCATAAGTGCTTATAACTGAAGTCCAGTTCCATTACATTCAGTGATGCTAATAAAGTCATATGTTTTACCTACGTATGTTGTTCACAGATTTGAGATCAATCTCAAGACCGGACAGGCTCCAGGTGATGACACGGCCTTTCATTTCAACCCCCGCATTGGTGAGAGAGTGACCCTGAACAGCTTCAGGAACGGTGGATGGGAAAGTGAGGAATCAGCCTCAGACAAACCCTTCACCAAGGGAAAACCCTTCACCATGTTTTATGTGATTAAACCTGAGGGCTATGAGGTGTGTTTTTTGCTTTAACTAGAGGAAAATCAATTTATGAAGCAGACAGGAATACATCTATCATAAAAAGACACTTTGCTATATTTGTGCAGGTATATGTAAATGGCTTTAAACACTGCATGTTCAAGCACCGCATACCCTTGGAGAAAGTGTCTGCAATTGACATTCGTGGAAATGTGACCATGAACCTGTTTGGTTTCATTAACGTAAGTCAATGTTTTTTCTGTTTTGGAAAAATTTTACTGTAACAAAAAGCCTTATAATACAAAAGAAAACCTTTAAACAAATATGTGTGGTTTACTACTGAAATCATGCTTGTTGATATTACCTTCTTTCAGAACTGGAGCACTTCTTCCTTCTTCAAGGAACACGAGTCCACTGCACCCTCCAGTGTGTCAACCACGCCTTCAGAGATTTCACATCCAGTGAGCAACCCTGTAAGTTAAACAGCACCTTTAATGGAATTGAATATCAGGCCAACATGTGTGAAAATACATTTTGTGGCTGTTGCAGATATATGTGGATGTAATGAATCTGTAATTTTGTGGATTTTTATTTTTCTTATAACAGACAGTTCCCCATGTGGGCGCAATCTCTGGTGGAATAAGACCAGGAATGGCTTTGTATTTCCAAGGGACTGTTCCACAAGAGGCTGAGAAGTATGCTGTTCTAGTGTTTACATGAACTATTCTACAGATCAGGGACGTGGGAAGTAGGGGTGCTGAGACGGCTGCTGCGTACCTATACATCAGGCTTAATTAACTGCAACCACAAAGACAATAACAGGAGCAAAAAAACAAACCAAAAAACGTTTAAATAATTTAAATATAACAAATACCCAAATGTACTTTTTGTGGGGTGGAGTTTGTATTTTTATTTCATTTCATTTATATATGTTCATAATCTACTGTAGCTGTGCACTGTTTCTGTTAACGCTGCATTTTAGAGTGAAGGGATTCGCCTCCCTCACCACCTGTTGACTAATCTGGGGGTGTGTTGATCAAACATAAGCAGGAGTTGAAGGGTATTTCTCTGTCGATACATTGTAATGTTGTTTTTAAAACTTACAGTTTATCAGGCAAAGCAATCATCTCCGACTCCCATCTCTTTTTTTTCTACTACTATACTAATCTTCCGCTACATGGCAGCTTGACTATGGGTGTGACACAAGCTGATTCCACAAATAAGCAATCTGACTGGTCTTCGCCATGCTCATTTTTATAAAGTTTGTCCTGCAAGACAGTGAAGGGACATCAGGATGCGCATCAGCGGTTGCTGTGTCGGTTATATGTGCATGTCTCTAACCATAATAATACGCTCTCCATCATGTAAATTATCCAGACAATTGGGAAACAAACAGGTATTTAGCATGATGTCATGGTACACTTCACCTGTACAATGCCAAAAAAATCAGCACTCCCAACTTGAAACACATTCTCACGTTCCTGCTTCAAAGCGCACTTATAAATTCTGCATTTATTAAGATATAAACTCCAGAAGTTGTGTATTCTGGACATGAGTCTTTACCATAAGTGCTTATAACTGAAGTCCAGTTCCATTACATTCAGTGATGCTAATAAAGTCATATGTTTTACCTACGTATGTTGTTCACAGATTTGAGATCAATCTCAAGACCGGACAGGCTCCAGGTGATGACACGGCCTTTCATTTCAACCCCCGCATTGGTAAGAGAGTGGCCCTGAACAGCTTCAGGAACGGTGGATGGGAAAGTGAGGAATCAGCCTCAGACAAACCCTTCACCAAGGGAAAACCCTTCACCATGTTTTATGTGATTAAACCTGAGGGCTATGAGGTGTGTTTTTTGCTTTAACTAGAGGAAAATCAATTTATGAAGCAGACAGGAATACATCTATCATAAAAAGACACTTTGCTATATTTGTGCAGGTATATGTAAATGGCTTTAAACACTGCATGTTCAAGCACCGCATACCCTTGGAGAAAGTGTCTGCAATTGACATTCGTGGAAATGTGACCATGAACCTGTTTGGTTTCATTAACGTAAGTCAATGTTTTTTCTGTTTTGGAAAAATTTTACTGTAACAAAAAGCCTTATAATACAAAAGAAAACCTTTAAACAAATATGTGTGGTTTACTACTGAAATCATGCTTGTTGATATTACCTTCTTTCAGAACTGGAGCACTTCTTCCTTCTTCAAGGAACACGAGTCCACTGCACCCTCCAGTGTGTCAACCACGCCTTCAGAGATTTCACATCCAGTGAGCAACCCTGTAAGTTAAACAGCACCTTTAATGGAATTGAATATCAGGCCAACATGTGTGAAAATACATTTTGTGGCTGTTGCAGATATATGTGGATGTAATGAATCTGTAATTTTGTGGATTTTTATTTTTCTTATAACAGACAGTTCCCCATGTGGGCGCAATCTCTGGTGGAATAAGACCAGGAATGGCTTTGTATTTCCAAGGGACTGTTCCACAAGAGGCTGAGAAGTATGCTGTTCTAGTGTTTACATGAACTATTCTACAGATCAGGGACGTGGGAAGTAGGGGTGCTGAGACGGCTGCTGCGTACCTATACATCAGGCTTAATTAACTGCAACCACAAAGACAATAACAGGAGCAAAAAAACAAACCAAAAAACGTTTAAATATTTTAAATATAACAAATACCCAAATGTACTTTTTGTGGGGTGGAGTTTGTATTTTTATTTCATTTCATTTATATATGTTCATAATCTACTGTAGCTGTGCACTGTTTCTGTTAACGCTGCATTTTAGAGTGAAGGGATTCGCCTCCCTCACCACCTGTTGACTAATCTGGGGGTGTGTTGATCAAACATAAGCAGGAGTTGAAGGGTATTTCTCTGTCGATACATTGTAATGTTGTTTTTAAAACTTACAGTTTATCAGGCAAAGCAATCATCTCCGACTCCCATCTCTTTTTTTTCTACTACTATACTAATCTTCCGCTACATGGCAGCTTGACTATGGGTGTGACACAAGCTGATTCCACAAATAAGCAATCTGACTGGTCTTCGCCATGCTCATTTTTATAAAGTTTGTCCTGCAAGACAGTGAAGGGACATCAGGATGCGCATCAGCGGTTGCTGTGTCGGTTATATGTGCATGTCTCTAACCATAATAATACGCTCTCCATCATGTAAATTATCCAGACAATTGGGAAACAAACAGGTATTTAGCATGATGTCATGGTACACTTCACCTGTACAATGCCAAAAAAATCAGCACTCCCAACTTGAAACACATTCTCACGTTCCTGCTTCAAAGCGCACTTATAAATTCTGCATTTATTAAGATATAAACTCCAGAAGTTGTGTATTCTGGACATGAGTCTTTACCATAAGTGCTTATAACTGAAGTCCAGTTCCATTACATTCAGTGATGCTAATAAAGTCATATGTTTTACCTACGTATGTTGTTCACAGATTTGAGATCAATCTCAAGACCGGACAGGCTTCAGGTGATGACACGGCCTTTCATTTCAGCCCCCGCATTGGTGAGAGAGTGACCCTGAACAGCTTCAGGAGTGGTGGATGGGAGATTGAGGAATTGGCATCAGACAAACCCTTCACCAAGGGAAAACCCTTCACCATGTTTTATGTGATTAAACCTGAGGGCTATGAGGTGTGTTCTTTGCTTTAACTAGAGGAAAAACAATTTATGAAGCAGACAGGAATACATCTATTATAAACAGACACTTTGCTATATTTGTGCAGGTATATGTAAATGGCTTTAAACACTGCATGTTCAAGCACCGCATACCCTTGGAGAAAGTGTCTGCAATTGACATTCGTGGAAATGTGACCATGAACCTGTTTGGTTTAATTACCGTAAGTGATTTGTTTTTCTGTTTTGGAGAAATGTTACTGTAAGAAAATGTTCTGTATTTTAAAAGAAAATCTTTAAAGAAATGCATTTACTTTATTATTGAAATCATGCATGATGGTATTACCGTCCCTCAGAACTGGAGCACTTCCTCCTTCTTTAAGGAACTCGAGACCACGCACCCCGAGATTTCACATCCAGTCAGCAAACCTGTAAGTTCAGCAGCACCTTAAATGGGATTGAAAATCAGGACAAAATGTGTAAAAATACATTTTGTGGCTGTTGCAGCTGTATGTGGATGTTATAAATCAATAATTTTGTGGATTTTTTTTTTTTTCTTGTAACAGAAAATGCCCTATGTAGGCGCAATCTCTGGTGGGATCAGACCAGGAATGGCTTTGTATTTCCAAGGGACTGTTCCTCAAGAGGCTGAGAAGTATGCTGTCTCAGTGTTCACATTAACTACACTGCAGATCAGGGACGTGGGATGTAGGGGTGCTGAGACGGCTGCTGCGTACCTATATATCAGGCTTGATTAACTGCAACCACAAGAACAATAACAGGAGAAAAAAAAAAAAACCAAAACGTTTAAATATTTTAAATATAACAAATACCCAAATGTACTTTTTGTGGGGTGGAGTTTGTATTTTTATTTCATTTCATTTATATATGTTCATAATCTACTGTAGCTGTGCACTGTTTCTGTTAACGCTGCATTTTAGAGTGAAGGGAATCGCTTCCCTCACCACCTGTTGGCCAATCTGGGGGTGTGTTGATCAAACATAAGCAGGAGTTGAAGGGTATTTCTCTGTCGATACATTGTAATGTTGTTTTTAAAACTTACAGTTTATCAGGCAAAGCAATCATCTCCGACTCCCATCTCTTTTTTTTCTACTACTATACTAATCTTCCGCTACATGGCAGCTTGACTATGGGTGTGACACAAGCTGATTCCACAAATAAGCAATCTGACTGGTCTTCGCCATGCTCATTTTTATAAAGTTTGTCCTGCAAGACAGTGAAGGGACATCAGGGTGCCCATCAGCGGTTGCTGTGTCGGTTATATGTGCATGTCTCTAACCATAATAATACGCTCTCCATCATGTAAATTATCCAGACAATTGGGAAACAAACAGGTATTTAGCATGATGTCATGGTACACTTCACCTGTACAATGCCAAAAAAATCAGCACTCCCAACTTGAAACACATTCTCACGTTCCTGCTTCAAAGCGCACTTATAAATTCTGCATTTATTAAGATATAAACTCCAGAAGTTGTGTATTCTGGACATGAGTCTTTACCATAAGTGCTTATAACTGAAGTCCAGTTCCATTACATTCAGTGATGCTAATAAAGTCATATGTTTTACCTACGTATGTTGTTCACAGATTTGAGATCAATCTCAAGACCGGACAGGCTCCAGGTGATGACACGGCCTTTCATTTCAACCCCCGCATTGGTGAGAGAGTGACCCTGAACAGCTTCAGGAATGGTGGATGGGAGATTGAGGAATCGGCATCAGCCAAACCCTTCACCAAGGGAAAACCCTTCACCATGTTTTATGTGATTAAACCTGAGGGCTATGAGGTGTGTTCTTTGCTTTAACTAGAGGAAAAACAATTTATGAAGCAGACAGGAATACATCTATTATAAACAGACACTTTGCTATATTTGTGCAGGTATATGTAAATGGCTTTAAACACTGCATGTTCAAGCACCGCATACCCTTGGAGAAAGTCTCTGCAATTGACATTCGTGGAAATGTGACCATGAACCTGTTTGGTTTCATTAACGTAAGTCAATGTTTTTTCTGTTTTGGAAAAATTTTACTGTAACAAAAAGCCTTATAATACAAAAGAAAACCTTTAAACAAATATGTGTGGTTTACTACTGAAATCATGCTTGTTGATATTACCTTCTTTCAGAACTGGAGCACTTCTTCCTTCTTCAAGGAACACGAGTCCACTGCACCCTCCAGTGTGTCAACCACGCCTTCAGAGATTTCACATCCAGTGAGCAACCCTGTAAGTTAAACAGCACCTTTAATGGAATTGAATATCAGGCCAACATGTGTGAAAATACATTTTGTGGCTGTTGCAGATATATGTGGATGTAATGAATCTGTAATTTTGTGGATTTTTTTTTTCTTATAACAGACAGTTCCCCATGTGGGCGCAATCTCTGGTGGAATAAGACCAGGAATGGCTTTGTATTTCCAAGGGACTGTTCCACAAGAGGCTGAGAAGTATGCTGTTCTAGTGTTTACATGAACTATTCTACAGATCAGGGACGTGGGAAGTAGGGGTGCTGAGACGGCTGCTGCGTACCTATACATCAGGCTTAATTAACTGCAACCACAAAGACAATAACAGGAGCAAAAAAACAAACCAAAAAACGTTTAAATATTTTAAATATAACAAATACCCAAATGTACTTTTTGTGGGGTGGAGTTTGTATTTTTATTTCATTTCATTTATATATGTTCATAATCTACTGTAGCTGTGCACTGTTTCTGTTAACGCTGCATTTTAGAGTGAAGGGAATCGCTTCCCTCACCACCTGTTGGCCAATCTGGGGGTGTGTTGATCAAACATAAGCAGGAGTTGAAGGGTATTTCTCTGTCGATACATTGTAATGTTGTTTTTAAAACTTACAGTTTATCAGGCAAAGCAATCATCTCCGACTCCCATCTCTTTTTTTCTGCTAGTATAATAATCTTCCGCTACATGGCAGCTTGACTATGGGTGTGACACAAGCTGATTCCACAAATAAGCAATCTGACTGGTCTTCGCCATGCTCATTTTTATAAAGTTTGTCCTGCAAGACAGTGAAGGGACATCAGGGTGCGCATCAGCGGTTGCTGTGTCGGTTGTATGTGCGTGTCTCTCACCACAATAATACGTTCTCTATCATGTAAATTATCCAGACAATTGGGAAAAAACACGTATTTAACATGATGCCATGGTATATCTCACCTATACGATGCCAAATAATTCACCGCTCCCAACTTGAAACACATTCTCGCGTCCCTGCTGCAAACCACACTTATAAATTCTGCAGTTGTTAAGATATTAACGCCAAAAGTTATGTATTCTGGACATGAAGTCTTTACCATAAGTGCTTATAACTGAAGTTCAGTTCCATTACATTCAGTGATCCTGATAAAGTTATATGTTTTACCTCCGTTATGTTGTTCACAGATTTGAGATCAATCTCAAGACCGGACAGGCTCCAGGTGATGACACGGCCTTTCATTTCAACCCCCGCATTGGTGAGAGAGTGACCCTGAACAGCTTCAGGAATGGTGGATGGGATATTGAGGAATCGGCATCAGCCAAACCCTTCACCAAGGGAAAACCCTTCACCATGTTTTATGTGATTAAACCTGAGGGCTATGAGGTGTGTTCTTTGCTTTAACTAGAGGAAAAACAATTTATGAAGCAGACAGGAATACATCTATTATAAACAGACACTTTGCTATATTTGTGCAGGTATATGTAAATGGCTTTAAACACTGCATGTTCAAGCACCGCATACCCTTGGAGAAAGTGTCTGCAATTGACATTCGTGGAAATGTGACCATGAACCTGTTTGGTTTCATTAACGTAAGTCAATGTTTTTTCTGTTTTGGAAAAATTTTACTGTAACAAAAAGTCTTATAATACAAAAGAAAACCTTTAAACAAATATGTGTGGTTTACTACTGAAATCATGCTTGTTGATATTACCTTCTTTCAGAACTGGAGCACTTCTTCCTTCTTCAAGGAACACGAGACCACTGCACCCTCCAGTGTGTCAACCACGCCTTCAGAGATTTCACATCCAGTGAGCAACCCTGTAAGTTAAACAGCACCTTTAATGGAATTGAATATCAGGCCAACATGTGTGAAAATACATTTTGTGGCTGTTGCAGATATATGTGGATGTAATGAATCTGTAATTTTGTGGATTTTTTTTTTCTTATAACAGACAGTTCCCCATGTGGGCGCAATCTCTGGTGGAATAAGACCAGGAATGGCTTTGTATTTCCAAGGGACTGTTCCACAAGAGGCTGAGAAGTATGCTGTTCTAGTGTTTACATGAACTATTGTACAGATCAGGGACGTGGGAAGTAGGGGTGCTGAGACGGCTGCTGTGTTCCTATATATCAGGCTTGATTAACTGCAACCACAAAGACAATAACAGGAAAAAAAAAACAAAACTTTTAAATATTTTAAATATAACAAATACCCAAATGTACTTTTTGTGGGGTGGAGTTTGTATTTTTATTTCATTTCATTTATATATGTTCATAATCTACTGTAGCTGTGCACTGTTTCTGTTAACGCTGCATTTTAGAGTGAAGGGAATCGCTTCCCTCACCACCTGTTGGCCAATCTGGGGGTGTGTTGATCAAACATAAGCAGGAGTTGAAGGGTATTTCTCTGTCGATACATTGTAATGTTGTTTTTAAAACTTACAGTTTATCAGGCAAAGCAATCATCTCCGACTCCCATCTCTTTTTTTCTGCTAGTATAATAATCTTCCGCTACATGGCAGCTTGACTATGGGTGTGACACAAGCTGATTCCACAAATAAGCAATCTGACTGGTCTTCGCCATGCTCATTTTTATAAAGTTTGTCCTGCAAGACAGTGAAGGGACATCAGGGTGCGCATCAGCGGTTGCTGTGTCGGTTGTATGTGCGTGTCTCTCACCACAATAATACGTTCTCTATCATGTAAATTATCCAGACAATTGGGAAAAAACACGTATTTAACATGATGCCATGGTATATCTCACCTATAAGATGCCAAAAAATTCACCGCTCCCAACTTGAAACACATTCTCGCGTCCCTGCTTCAAAGCACTCTTATAAATTCTGCAGTTGTTAAGATATTAACGCCAAAAGTTGTGTATTCTGGACATGAAGTCTTTACCATAAGTGCTTATAACTGAAGTTCAGTTCCATTACATTCAGTGATCCTGATAAAGTTATATGTTTTACCTCCGTTATGTTGTTCACAGATTTGAGATCAATCTCAAGACCGGACAGGCTCCAGGTGATGACACCGCCTTTCATTTCAACCCCCGCATTGGTGAGAGAGTGACCCTGAACAGCTTCAGGAGTGGTGGATGGGAGATTGAGGAATTGGCATCAGCCAAACCCTTCACCAAGGGAAAACCCTTCACCATGTTTTATGTGATTAAACCTGAGGGCTATGAGGTGTGTTCTTTGCTTTAACTAGAGGAAAAACAATTTATGAAGCAGACAGGAATACATCTATTATAAACAGACACTTTGCTATATTTGTGCAGGTATATGTAAATGGCTTTAAACACTGCATGTTCAAGCACCGCATACCCTTGGAGAAAGTGTCTGCAATTGACATTCGTGGAAATGTGACCATGAACCTGTTTGGTTTCATTAACGTAAGTCAATGTTTTTTCTGTTTTGGAAAAATTTTACTGTAACAAAAAGTCTTATAATACAAAAGAAAACCTTTAAACAAATATGTGTGGTTTACTACTGAAATCATGCTTGTTGATATTACCTTCTTTCAGAACTGGAGCACTTCTTCCTTCTTCAAGGAACACGAGACCACTGCACCCTCCAGTGTGTCAACCACGCCTTCAGAGATTTCACATCCAGTGAGCAACCCTGTAAGTTAAACAGCACCTTTAATGGAATTGAATATCAGGCCAACGTGTGAAAATACATTTTGTGGCTGTTGCAGGTATATGTGGATATAATGAATCTGTAATTTTGTGGATTTTTTTTTTCTTATAACAGACAATTCCCCATGTGGGCGCAATCTCTGGTGCAATAAGACCAGGAATGGCTTTGTATTTCCAAGGGACTGTTCCACAAGAGGCTGAGAAGTATGCTGTTCTAGTGTTTACATGAACTATTCTACAGATCAGGGACGTGGGAAGTAGGGGTGCTGAGACGGCTGCTGTGTTCCTATATATCAGGCTTGATTAACTGCAACCACAAAGACAATAACAGGAAAAAAAAAACAAAACTTTTAAATATTTTAAATATAACAAATACCCAAATGTACTTTTTGTGGGGTGGAGTTTGTATTTTTATTTCATTTCATTTATATATGTTCATAATCTACTGTAGCTGTGCACTGTTTCCATTAACGCTGCATTTTAGAGTGAAGGGATTCGCTTCCCTCACCACCTGTTGACCAATCTTTGGGAGTGTTGATCAAACAAAAGCAGGAGTTGTAGGGTATTTCTCTGACTCGATACATTGTAATGTTGTTTTTAAAACTGACAATTTATCAGGCAAAGCAATCATCTCCCACTTCTATCTCTTTTTCTGCCAGTTTAATAATCTTCCGCTAGATGCCAGCTTGACTATGGGCGTGACACAAGTAGGTTCAGCAAATAAATAATCTGATTGGTCTACGCCAAGTTCATTTCCATAAAATTTGTCCTGCAAGACAGAGCAGGGACAGCAGGGTGCGCATCAGCGGTTGCTTTGTCGGTTGTATGTGCGTGTCTCTCACCACAATAATACGTTCTCTATCATGTAAATTATCCAGACAATTGGGAAAAAACACGTATTTAACATGATGCCATGGTATATCTCACCTATACGATGCCAAAAAATTCACCGCTCCCAACTTGAAACACATTCTCGCGTCCCTGCTTCAAAGCACTCTTATAAATTCTGCAGTTGTTAAGATATTAACGCCAAAAGTTGTGTATTCTGGACATGAAGTCTTTACCATAAGTGCTTATAACTGAAGTTCAGTTCCATTACATTCAGTGATCCTGATAAAGTTATATGTTTTACCTCCGTTATGTTGTTCACAGATTTGAGATCAATCTCAAGACCGGACAGGCTCCAGGTGATGACACCGCCTTTCATTTCAACCCCCGCATTGGTGAGAGAGTGACCCTGAACAGCTTCAGGAGTGGTGGATGGGAGATTGAGGAATTGGCATCAGCCAAACCCTTCACCAAGGGAAAACCCTTCACCATGTTTTATGTGATTAAACCTGAGGGCTATGAGGTGTGTTCTTTGCTTTAACTAGAGGAAAAACAATTTATGAAGCAGACAGGAATACATCTATTATAAACAGACACTTTGCTATATTTGTGCAGGTATATGTAAATGGCTTTAAACACTGCATGTTCAAGCACCGCATACCCTTGGAGAAAGTGTCTGCAATTGACATTCGTGGAAATGTGACCATGAACCTGTTTGGTTTCATTAACGTAAGTCAATGTTTTTTCTGTTTTGGAAAAATTTTACTGTAACAAAAAGTCTTATAATACAAAAGAAAACCTTTAAACAAATATGTGTGGTTTACTACTGAAATCATGCTTGTTGATATTACCTTCTTTCAGAACTGGAGCACTTCTTCCTTCTTCAAGGAACACGAGACCACTGCACCCTCCAGTGTGTCAACCACGCCTTCAGAGATTTCACATCCAGTGAGCAACCCTGTAAGTTAAACAGCACCTTTAATGGAATTGAATATCAGGCCAACGTGTGAAAATACATTTTGTGGCTGTTGCAGATATATGTGGATATAATGAATCTGTAATTTTGTGGATTTTTTTTTTCTTATAACAGACAATTCCCCATGTGGGCGCAATCTCTGGTGCAATAAGACCAGGAATGGCTTTGTATTTCCAAGGGACTGTTCCACAAGAGGCTGAGAAGTATGCTGTTCTAGTGTTTACATGAACTATTCTACAGATCAGGGACGTGGGAAGTAGGGGTGCTGAGACGGCTGCTGTGTTCTTATATATCAGGCTTGATTAACTGCAACCACAAAGACAATAACAGGAAAAAAAAAACAAAACTTTTAAATATTTTAAATATAACAAATACCCAAATGTACTTTTTGTGGGGTGGAGTTTGTATTTTTATTTCATTTCATTTATATATGTTCATAATCTACTGTAGCTGTGCACTGTTTCCATTAACGCTGCATTTTAGAGTGAAGGGATTCGCTTCCCTCACCACCTGTTGACCAATCTTTGGGAGTGTTGATCAAACAAAAGCAGGAGTTGTAGGGTATTTCTCTGACTCGATACATTGTAATGTTGTTTTTAAAACTGACAATTTATCAGGCAAAGCAATCATCTCCCACTTCTATCTCTTTTTCTGCCAGTTTAATAATCTTCCGCTAGATGCCAGCTTGACTATGGGCGTGACACGAGTAGATTCAGCAAATAAATAATCTGATTGGTCTACGCCAAGTTCATTTCCATAAAATTTGTCCTGCAAGACAGAGCAGGGACAGCAGGGTGCGCATCAGCGGTTGCTTTGTCGGTTGTATGTGCGTGTCTCTCACCACAATAATACGCTCTGTTTCATGTCAATTATCCAAACAGTTGGGACAAAACACATATTTAGCATGATGTCATGGTATATCTCACCTATACGATGCCAAAAAATTCACCACTCCCAACTTGAAACACATTCTTGCATCCCTGCTGCAAACCACACTTACAAATTCTGCAGTTTTGAAGACATAAACTCTAAAAGTTATGTATTCTGGACATGAAGTCTTTACCATAAGTGCTTATAACTGAAGTTCAGTTCCATTACATTCAGTAATGCTAATAAAGTCATATGTTTTACCTCCGTATGTTGTTCACAGATTTGAGATCAATCTCAAGACCGGACAGGCTCCAGGTGATGACACGGCCTTTCATTTCAACCCCCGCGTTGGTGAGAGAGTGACCCTGAACAGCTTCAGGAATGGTGGATGGGAAAGTGAGGAAACAGCCTCAGACAAACCCTTCACCAAGGGAGCACCCTTCACCATCATTTATGTGATTAAACCTGAGGGCTATGAGGTGTGTTTTTTGCTTTAACTAAAGGAAAAACAATTTATTAAGCAAACAGTAATACATCTATCATAAAGACTCTTTGCTACATTTGTGCAGGTATATGTAAATGGCTTTCGACACTGCATGTTCAAGCACCGCATACCCTTGGAGAAAGTGTCTGCAATTGACATTCGTGGACATGTGACCATGAACCTCCTTGGTTTCATTAATGTAAGTCAATGTTTTTTTTTTTTACTTTTTGAGCAATAATAAAATAATAAATGTTGTATAGTGTAAAAGAAAATCTCTAAATAATTGCATTTAGTTTACTTCTGAAATCATGATGGTCATACCTTCCCTCAGAACTGGAGCACTTCTTCCTTCTTCAAGGAACACAAGACCACACACTCAGAGATTTCTCATCCAGTCAGCAAACCTGTAAGTTAAAAAGCACCTTCAATGAAATTGAAAATCAGGCCAAAATCTGTAAAAATACATTTTGTGCTTGTTGCAGCTATATGGGGATGTAAAAATTAGTAATTCTGTGGATTTTTTTTCTTGTAACAGAAAATTCCCTATGTAGGCGCAATCTCTGGTGGAATAAGACCAGGAATGGCTTTGTATTTCCAAGGGACTGTTCCTCAAGAGGCTGAGAAGTATGCTATCTCAGTGTTCACATTAAATACACTGCAGATCAGGGATGTGGGAAGTAGGGGTCCTAAGGTGGCTGCCGCGTCCCTAAATGTCAGGCTTGATTAACTGCAACCACAAGAACAATAACAGGAAAAAAAACAAACAATGAAAGTTTTAAATATTTTGAACATAACAAATATGCAAATGTACATTTTGTAGGTTTGGAGTTTTTATATATGTTCAAAATCTGCTGTAGCCTTGCACTGTTTCCGTTAGCATTTTAGAGTGAAGGGATTCTCTTCTCTCACCACCTGTTGGCCAACTCTGGGGGTGTGTTGATCAAACAAAAGCAGGAGTTGTAGGGTATTTCTGTGCCTCGACACATTCTAATGTTGTTTTACAAACTTAATTTTTAAGGCAAAGCAATCATCTCCCATTACCAACTCTTTTTTTTCTACCAATGTAATAATTTTCCACTTGATGCCACCTTGACTATGGACATGACACAAGCGGATTCCGCAAATAAACAACCTGATTGGTCTTCGCCATGCTTATTTGCGTAAAATTTGTCCTGCAAGACAGAGCAGGGGCAGCTGAGTGTGCCTCAGCGGTTCCTTTGTCGGTTGTATGTGTGTGTCTCTCACCACCATAATATGCTCCGTTTTATGTTAATTATTCAAACAATTGGGGAAAAAACACATATTTAGTATGATGTCATGGAATACCTCACTTACACGGTGCGAAACACATTCAGCACTGAAACACATTCTCGCGTCCCTGTCTTAAAGCGCACTTAAAAATTCTGCAGTTTTTAAGATATAAACTCCAAAATTATTGTATTCTGGACATGAAGTCTGCTTATAACTGAAGTTAAGTTCCAGCACTTTTAGTAATGCTTATAGGATTCATTGTTCTTATCTCCTTATTTTGTTCACAGATTTGAGATCAATCTTAAGACCGGACAGGCTCCAGGTGATGACACCGCCTTTCATTTCAACCCCCGCATTGGTGAGAGAGTGACCCTGAACAGCTTTAGGAATGGTGGATGGGAGATTGAGGAATCAGCCTCAGACAAACCCTTCACCAAGGGAGCACCCTTCACCATCTTTTATGTGATTAAACCTGAGGGCTATGAGGTGTGTTTTTCATATTAAGTTGTAGATCACAAAAAATAAGCAAAAAGCATTACCTAAATAATTAAATAGATTTGTAATATTCACACAGGTATATGTTAATGGATTTCAACACTGCATGTTCAAGCACCGTATACCCTTGGAGAAAGTGTCTGCACTTGTCCTTGATGGTGATGTCACTATTAACATACTCGGTGTGATTGAAGTAAGTAATGTTATAATTTTTTGTGTACACTATGACAATTGTAGGTGATTTTGACACTTGGTTTGCTGAAAGACTTTAATTTGAAAATTCATCAGCAAAGAGTCCTATAACTGAAGAGGAAATGGGCACCTTTTGCATCCTTTTATGAAATCAGTCCATTTCAAGGACACTTTTTTTGTGGAAATGGTCTTCATATTAAAGTTTTTCTTTAATTATTGTGACTGAATGATTTTTAACTTCCAGTCAGAAATAGTACAGCCAGTTCTCAAAAAAAACACATTATATCAACTGACATTAACTGTGAAATAAAATTTTAATAGTGGAAATAATAGGTTGGAATGGAAGAATCATTCATTGCTCACATGAAGAATGAGGAAGTATGATCACTGTTTTCCTATATATATACATATACATACATACATAATCTAAACTGCTTATCCTTCTGGGTCGCGGTGGGGTGCTGGAGCCTATCCCAGCTGTCATTGGGCAGAAGGCAGGATACACCCTGGACAGGTCGCCAGTCCATCACAGGGCAGACAGACATACACATTCACACACTCACTCACACCTAGGGGCAATTTAGCACGTCCAATTAGCTTAACTGCATGTTTAACTGTGGGAGGAAACCGGAGTACCCGGAGGAAACCCACGCAGACACGGGGAGAACATGCAAACTCCACACAGAAATGACCCTGGTCACCCGGCCGGGAATCGAACCCAGGCCCTTCTTGCTGTGAGGCGACAGCGCTACCCACTGCGCCACTGTGCCACCTATATCCAAGCTAATAATTTTGTGGTAAATTGGTTCCTTTAAGAATTCTTGTGATGCATTTACATTTTCAACAGAAATGGAGCAGTTCTTCCTTCTTTACGGAACATCAGATAATTTCAGATGTGGAGAGCTCATCCAGCAGTCTCATCCAGTTAGAAGTGTCTCACGCAGTTAGCAACCCTGTGAGTTACATTTCTACATGCGTTGCTGATGAATGCTACAACATGTAGTCTGAAACCAAGTTTTACAGCTTGGTGCAGCAAAGCTACTCCGTAATGTTAAAAATGTTAATATTGACTAGATAAAGCTTAATCTTTTCATAATTCTTTCTGAAATGACATGATGAATGACCCCATTGTGCACTTTGTGCTCTCCCAGGCCATTCCTTATGTGGGTACAATTCCAGAAGGGATCAAACCAGATATGGCCATATGCTTCCAAGGGACTGTTCCTGAAAATGCTAGCCAGTATGCTCTCCCTTCACCCTGAAAAACTGTTGTGCAGTTCAGAATACATCAAGTTTCAATTTATGTGTTTTGAGCCCAGTTTTAATACAGTTTTATGTTCTTTCCAAGGTTTTCAGTAAATTTGAAAACTGGGCCAACTAAGCAGGATGACATCGCTTTTCACTTCAAACCCAACATTGGTCAGAAAGTGACCCTGAACAGCTTCAGGAATGGCAGCTGGGAGAGCGAGGAATCCGCTTCTGACAAGCCCTTCACCAAGGGAGCAGCCTTCAATATGTTTGTTGTCATCGGTGCAGAGGGCTATGAGGTGTGTTTCTTATATTAGACTATAGATAATTGGTAAAGCAAGACAAAACAAAAAGTCCAAATTATTTGCTGTCCTTCTTCAGGTATATGTGAATGGCATGAAGCACTGCATGTTCAAGCACCGCATTCCTGTAGAGAAAGTTTCTAACCTTGAAATTTGTGGAGATGTTTCCATGCACATCCTTGGTTACATTGATGTACGTAAAACAGTTTATTGTACTTAATGTGTATTCTGCAAGTTATTTTTTGGGTAGTTCATTCAAGAAAATGTTTGATACATTAATCTTCCCACCAGAAATGGAGTAGTTCTTCCTTCTTTACGGAGCAACAGAAAATGTCAGGTTTTGGAAGCTCATCCTGGAGCGCGAGTCCTATCCAGTTAGAAGTGTCACATCCAGTTAGCAACCCTGTGAGTTACATTTGTACATGCACTGAAGATGAATGCCACAACATGTCTTTAAAAATTTTGGATTTTAGATACATCTAGGGTTCTTCATGATAAAACTCTACCTTCTTTCTTCCACGACACAATGGGTACCTTACTGTACACTTTGTACTTTCCCCAGGCCATTCCGTATGTGGGCACTATTCCAGAAGGGATCAAACCAGATATGGCCATATGCTTCCAAGGGACTGTTCCTGAAAAAGCCAGCCAGTATGTATGCTCTCCCTTCACCCTGAAAAACAAATGTAGAAAGGGGCATGCATGATTACCAGAGCTTTTTACAGAACTATAAAATTCAGGAATCTGATACTGCTGTACACTTTGAAATACATCAGTGTTCTGTTTATGTGTTTTGACCTCAGTTTTTATACATTTTTTTACATTCTTTCAAAGGTTTGCAGTGAATTTTAAAACTGGACCATCTAATCAGGATGACATCGCTTTTCATTTCAAACCCAACATTGGTCAGAAGGTGAGCTTGAACAGCTTCAGGAATGGCAGCTGGGAGAGCGAGGAATCAGCTTCAGACAAGCCCTTCACCAAGGGAGCAGCCTTCAATATGTTTGTTGTCATCGGTGCAGAGGGCTATGAGGTGTGTTTCTTATATTAGATTATAGATAATTGGTAAAGCAAGACAAAACAAAAAGTCCAAATTATTTGCTGTCCTTCTTCAGGTATATGTGAATGGCATGAAGCACTGCATGTTCAAGCACCGCATTCCTGTAGAGAAAGTTTCTCACCTTGAAATTTGTGGAGATGTGTCCATGCACATCCTTGGTTACATTGATGTAAGTAAAACAGTTTATTGTACTTAATGTGTATTCTGCAAGTTATTTTTTGGGTAGTTCATTCAAGAAAATGTTTGATACATTAATCTTCCCACCAGAAATGGAGTAGTTCTTCCTTCTTTACGGAGCAACAGAAAATGTCAGGTTTTGGAAGCTCATCCTGGAGCCCGAGTCCTATCCAGTTAGAAGTGTCACATCCAGTTAGCAACCCTGTGAGTTACATTTGTACATGCACTGAAGATGAATGCCACAACATGTCTTTAAAAATTTTGGATTTTAGATACATCTAGGGTTCTTCATGATAAAACTCTACCTTCTTTCTTCCATGACACAATGGGTACCTTACTGTACACTTTGTACTTTCCCCAGGCCATTCCGTATGTGGGCACTATTCCAGAAGGGATCAAACCAGATATGGCCATATGCTTCCAAGGGACTGTTCCTGAAAAAGCCAGCCAGTATGTATGCTCTCCCTTCACCCTGAAAAACAAATGTAGAAAGGGGCATGCATGATTACCAGAGCTTTTTACAGAACTATAAAATTCAGGAATCTGATACTGCTGTACACTTTGAAATACATCAGTGTTCAGTTTATGTGTTTTGACCTCAGTTTTTATACATTTTTTTACATTCTTTCAAAGGTTTGCAGTGAATTTTAAAACTGGACCATCTAATCAGGATGACATCGCTTTTCATTTCAAACCCAACATTGGTCAGAAGGTGAGCTTGAACAGCTTCAGGAATGGCAGCTGGGAGAGCGAGGAATCAGCTTCAGACAAGCCCTTCACCAAGGGAGCAGCCTTCAATATGTTTGTTGTCATCGGTGCAGAGGGCTATGAGGTGTGTTTCTTATATTAGATTATAGATAATTGGTAAAGCAAGACAAAACAAAAAGTCCAAATTATTTGCTGTCCTTCTTCAGGTGTATGTGAATGGCATGAAGCACTGCATGTTCAAGCACCGCATTCCTGTAGAGAAAGTTTCTCACCTTGAAATTTGTGGAGATGTGTCCATGCACATCTTCGGTTACATGGATGTAAGTAAAACAGTTTCTTGCTCATGTGTTTACTGCAAGTTAATGAAATTATTTTTTTCTTCATAAGATGGTTAATTATAAAAAATGATATATTTATCTTCCCACCAGAAATGGAGTAGCTCTTCATTCTTTATGGAACAACAGGAGATTTCATGCATGGAGAGCTCATCTTGCATCCAGCTAGAAGTGTCTTATCCGGTTAGCAACCCTGTGAGTGACATTTCTACTTGTACTGAACATGAAAGGCACAGCATTTGTAAAATAATTATGATGATATTATGATGATTATGATGAATTATGATGATATTATAATGATTTAGATGCAACCAGGTTTCTAATGTAAAAAGTTATTCTCACAAACATACCAAATACTGGGACCCAACTTTAAAAAAAAAAAAATATAAGTTACTAAAACCTTTTGTAGATAGACATACAATAACGACTGGTTGAGTAATTAAAAATAAACCTGAATGATGTAATTGATTTTAAGTGACTTTAAGTGAATTTAAGTGACTAAGTGGTCATCACTACAACACAGGAAGGTTTGAAATTGATTTATTTATTTACTTATTTATTAATTTATTTATTTTTGCAGTTTTTCTTTTCACAGTTTGTATACCATTGTCAGACTACGTAATTTAAAAGCTATTTATTAAAATATACATATTTTCCAAAATATAATGACTTGCAATTTTATCTTATTTCCTTAACACACAGAAACTTTTCACTGATTATTATTATTTTTATATTTATTTATTTTTTTTTAATTAAACATTTGTTGTTTTGGTTCACACACTAACAGTTTACAAGAAAAAAACTAAAAAGATTCAACAGTTAAAAGTAATACAAACTCATTTTGTCTTTGGGGGTATTTTTTTTCCAATTTTCCCACCAATTTAGTCATGTCCAGTTCTGTTTGCTAGCTGGGTCTCCCTTCCAGTCACCATACAGAGGTCTAAATGATCTACTACATTATGTGATTATAGATTATTATTATTATAGACTATGACACTCAAATATTTATGGACATGTTTTGAGGCAGTTTTGTGAGATAAACCAAATGTTCATTTTAACACGATAAACTATGATTCTGTCTCTCATGACATGATGGATTTCTTCTTGTGCTCTCCCCAGGCAATTCCCTATGTGGGTACGATTCCGGAAGGCATCAAACCAAATATGGCTGTATGCTTTCAAGGGACTGTTCCTGCACAAGCCGATGAGTATGCTTTCCTTTCACCCTTCAAGACAAGCATAGAAAAGATGGAACAGTAAAACTCAGGAATTTGGCACTGCTGTGCCATTCAAAATATGTCAAGGCTTAACTTGTGTTTGACCCGTTTTTTTATTCAAAGGTTTTCTATAAATTTCAAAACTGGGCCTTCCGATGGGGATGACATCGCTTTTCACTTCAACCCTCGCATTGGTGAGAGAGTGGCCCTGAACAGCTTCAGGAATGGCAGCTGGGAGAGTGAGGAATCAGCTTTAGACAGGTCCTTCAGCAAGGGAGCACCTTTCAATATGTTTGTTGTCATCACTGCAGAGGGCTATGAGGTAAATGAATCAGATAAAATCACAGAGTTCCTTGTCCTCTTAGAGTTGTCCCTTAGCTGGAGGAATGAGGCATCAGCCTCATAGAAGCCAATGTAGAAGCTTTTGATAAGTTCATGTTCATGATATGTCCTACCAGATTTACAAGTTGGGTGTGAATATTGTCATTGCCAAAAAAAAAAAATCTCCAAAATAGTAACTTCTTAACTTGCTTAATGTAAAGAAATTTTATTCCGGGTCATTTTCGACCATTACTATAGGTCCAAATGTATATTTATATTAAATTTCTAATATATAAATATATATATATAATATAATTTATATTATATATAAAATTTTCACACAATAGAAAGGACAGCTGTGTTCAAATGATAAAAATAAATTGATTTCTTTTTGGACAGCAAAGATACATGATCAACCAAAGAAACTGTGTGTGTGTATATATACATATATATATATATATATATATATATATAAAAAGCTACAATAGAATTTTGCTTTTTGCTTTAATTCTTCAGGTGAATGTGAATAGCATGGATCTCTGCATGTTTAAACATCGCATACCCTTGGAGAAAGTATCAGTGCTTAATATCTTTGGTAACGTGTCCATTGACATGGTTGGTTTTGTTATGGTAAGCATACAAATTTTTTTTTTGATTGTTCTACAGCAAATACACAAGATTACTCATATCAAACCAATTGTTTTTATTCATCTGGCTTCTCTCTTTGTTTTTCAGAACTGGAACAAAGAATTGCTCTTTTCTCAGCAGTCAATGGACATATCTTTTTGAAGTGCCAACCAGCACCACCACTAAGTCTGAGATGGTCAAGCTGTGATCAGTGGCCATAAGAGAAACTGAGACATACTCTGATGATTGCTTTGCGGTATACAGGGTCTTTGCATGCCTTTTTTTCTTTCTTATAATACTGAACTTTTTACCAAGCTGCCCAAAAACACTCCAAACTTTTCTAAGATGAACTACACAGAACAGCAGTATAACTAATATGACAGCACATTACACTTGTGGTACTGTCATTAAAGTCCAGCAAATTCCTACACAGTTTTATGATCTTTCCACTCAAACACCGTGTTCAACTCAGCATTTAAATGTCAAGTTTGATGGTGTGTTAAGAGCAGGAAAGTCACATCCAGGGCTGAAGTTCATCCCCCTCAGTCTAAATCTCTATCATTATTGATTTTAAAATTTTCCTTTAGAACTGCAGTTATTTTTGAAGTCCTAACCTAAGTTGTAACTTGCAAAATGCCTGATATATTTTCTGCCAAACTGGACATTTATTCACACCTCTGTCAGAAAAGAAATGCTTTATCTACTTTAACCCACTCCTTGCAATTTGCATGTGACTTGCATCTGCCAAAAGCAAAAACCTCTCAATCATGTTCCCTATGTTTTAGTCCCATATACTAAATATACTGTTTTTTTTTGTTTTGTTTTGTTTTTTTTTGCATAATTAAACAATTTTTTGTTTCAACATGATTTGTTTTTGTCATCCACTAGCCCTTCATCAGCAGTCTGTTTCTGACTATTAAACTGTTTTTGGCTTTATATTTGTGGACCTCTCTTAACCCAGCAGTAATACTGACTTCATCTGTTAAAATCAAAGTAACACTGCTGGGTCTGATATATTCACACCAGCACCACACACACACAATGTCACACTGTGACTGATATGTGAACGTCTGATCAACTGCCGTTCTGTGGTCACAAACTGGCTAATGATGAATGGGATAGAGGATAGTTGACACCTATTTTACTTGTTTTGTATCAATAGATTGGGGAAAAGGAATGAATGTGGAAAAACTGGCTAACTCATCATTAACATAGTCACAGGCACTGATGTTTATGTTATTTTCCATAGGTCTTGGATAGAATAAGTATTTCAATTTGTAGTATGTCTTAGTATAGTTTGGAATTGTCATGGATTTTCATTGGAATGGAAGGTGATGGAAGGCATATAGTGTCCCCCAATGTTCAATGCAGTCAGAAAGAGAAAGATGATAAGGTACTTTTAATAAATAAATGACAAACGTGGAGTGTAGATTATACCAAATTACCACTGTATTGCCACTAATGTACCAGTGCAGCAAGCAGTCACTTGCAAATTCGTGTAGTGAATAAAGAAAAAAAGATTGTTGTTTTTGCTACTCTCACATGCAGTTGCAACGAGTTGGAAATCACTTAGCTATTCATGTCAATAATCCTTAAGGAGAGGTAGAATTTGCAAGCTTTTGGGTTTTTTATAATTTCAAGGAATTTGTGTGTATTTCAGTAGCTTTTGTTGGATATTCTTGGGTAAACCCTGATAATAGGACAGTGCGACTGGCCTGTACAGCTGTACATACAAAAGTTTTGGCACTCCTGGTCAAATTACATGTTTTGTTGATTTTTTAAGTGAAAATAAGTTCATTCTACAGAGAACACACCTCTGCTCAGTTAATGCACTATTACTCTTTCTTTGTTGAGTTTGACATATTGGACACTTACTGTTTTTCTTTAGCATGCCTTGCTTTGTTAACTTTTTCTGTTTCCATTATGCTCTATGGCAAATAAAGTATTACAAAAAAAGCTATACAGATTTAATGTTCTTATTGTTTAAAGAATTGTCTGTAATAAACTAGCCATTCATTCTAGGTATTATTTACTAGGGAAACTACATCAGTAAGAATGAATTAGTATACATTTATAATTACAAGAATTAAAAAAGTATTACTAGTAGAAAAATGATGACAGACACAAGGTTGGGCTCTAGTCTGATATTTAATAGGTTTTACTTTACTTGCTACAGTATTAAGGTATCTGACTTCTTACCTACTACCTAATAGACTGAAATCTCCTGATATACAGTCATACAAAATAGGCTGTTTTCATACTTAATTCTCTACTGCACAGGTTCCCAACCCTGGTCCTGGGATAATATACCTGCCCTGCACATTTTAGTGTTTTTCTGCCATAACATTCCCAGTTCTACTCAGGAAGGGCTTGTTAATAAGCTGACTAGTTGGATCAGGTGTGTTGGGAGCAGACGAAACATGAAAATGTGCAGGGCAGGGGATATTCTGGGAACAGGGTTGGGAACCACTGCTATACTGCAAGAAGGTTGCAATAATGCAGTACTGAATTTATAATTTGTATAAAACTTTAAATGACAAGACAAATCAGTAATTTTTTCCCCTTTTAAATACTATTCTTCTAAAGAAACAGAATGGTCAGTTTGAAACGTTTGTCAGAAGGTGCAGGAATGTCAGCTTTGTAGTCTTTATCAAAAGGATGCATTCATGCATTGAGCACTAACACTAATGAATGATGGAAGGCTACTCTACTTATTTGTGTGTACTTGTTCTCTGTGTTTGACACAAAGATTACTAATTAGGAACAATAAGATTTTTGGGCTATTTTAACTCCTAGCTTAGTAAAAACCCCACAGGGAATGTACTGATAACCTGACATGCACTTTTACAGTAACACATTTTAAAATGTTAAGTAAACATAAACCTTAGATAGAACAGGTCAGGTCATTGTCAGTTCAATGTTTTTTATTTATTTATTTTTTACATTACTAAAGGGCTGTTCACTTTGATCATATTCCAGTGTCACCAGGCTACATAAGCACTAGCCCAAGGTATCCAAGAAATGCAGGCTAAATTTCTCCACCATTAAATAGTGTATTTTAAAGGCATGTTTAAGAAAAGAACACACCAATTAGATATTGCTCTGTTTATTAGGTCCATAATTTTTATACATGACAGGACAGCACAGGGCTTTATGAACATCGGACATAAAGAACAAGGCAGAAACTTAAGTGCTTTAAACAACCTCGTCAGATAAATCAGGAGACCTAAAAGGAAGACAAGGAAGATATTAAGAGCGCAATACAAATAAGACACCTCAATCCAGAACAACACACATTTATAGAATTTAGTTGAATCTGTTGATAATCAACTAAACAGTATTTGGTGTTTTCATGCTATAAAACAGTTGAATGTGTGTGTATGAAGTACAGCGATGTGCTCAAGGCTACAATCTGTGATTTATTCAGTATCAGTAAGCCTAGGGTGATTGTAACTGTTCCTTTCGAATTTGAAGTGCATTGACACTGCACAATTCTCAAGATCAGTGGTTTTCAAACCAGTCCTCAGGGACCCCCAGATGGTCCAGATTTGCTCTAACCTAATTTGAAACACCTAGGGATGGAGCAAGAAAATGGACTGTCTGGGGGTCCCTGACAACCGGTTTGAGAACCACTGCTCTAGATAGCCTCAATGTCAAGGTTTTTGATGCTTAATTTGGCTGCAAGAAACAGACATGTATTGAAGTATATGTTCTACTAAAACATTTAAAGGTATTATATTTTACCACATCAAATAAACATTAGTTTCAGATTTTTAATATGCATGAAACAATGAAAGCTGCTCATTTTTATTTGTCAAGCATGAGGCCAAGAAAAAAAAAAAGTACAGTAGACACTTGTAAGTCTTACACAGCATCACTAAAGTCTTATAAATGAGGATTTCTTGGCTTTGGAAGAAATGAAGGGAGTCATAAACAAGGTTCTTTATATTTTGTTAACTGAACATGACGTGGAACTTCAGCTTGGTATAATAATGCATTATAATGCACTAAATATAAATGAGCAGCTTGACAAATTTTGGTGTTCGTCTGTTTCCAATGACCATTATAACAAGGCTGCTGTTGACTGCGTCAGCTTCTCAACTGTATGCTCACACAATGTTTACACAGGAAGAACAGACTGTTGATCAAACTTCATCTTCCTCGTTACCAAATTAATCCTAACCATGTTAGATGAGGATCTTTCAACAACTGTGCCAAGTCTCTGTGCACTAATATTACTGGCTTTTATTTGCATCCTTCATAGTGTGGTTGCTACGGCTAGACTGTCAACAGATATTCAAATTACCACTGAATGTACACCGGTTAGCCTGAATACCTTTACACAAAAAGAGTACGTCCTTAATTCCCTCATTTTGATTATGACACTGACACAGAGAAACGGAGAGATTCCTAAAACACAAGATCCTCTGTATACCCATCTTTTGTTAACTGCAATTTGCGCACACTACCAGGACAGGTATGTTGTTAAATTTGTGATGGTCTCTACTGTTAAAATATTAAAAGTCTTTCGATGTATGTTCAACCGAAGTGTTACACTGTATTAACTGGAAACCTGCCTGTATACATGTCTGTACAATTACAGAAAAGGCTTAGTGTAACTGCTGTTACAGCATACATATTATACATTACCATTACCTTCAGGCAAGCTGAATGAGGAACATAGCTTAGTGTTCTAGTGAAAAGAAAAGGCAGCAGTGCAGTGATACTCACATGTCCTGAATGAGGGTGTTTAGGCCTTATCGATCCCCAGTTCCTCTGGGGTAGAGATACCCAACTCAGTAAGGGTGGGGCGAAGCTCTTGGATCACGTATGGGTAGATCTCTTTATGTGGCCCTGATTTGTCCTGAAGAGATGATTAATGCATTACACAACGTGCAAAAACAGAAATATTATGGAGTTAAATCATTGTCATCAGAACCTGAACCTTAATTTGCGACGCTGAACCTGAATTCCTGATGCTTTTTCGGGTTGAAAAATTCAGGTTGTAAAATTCATGTCTGGAAATTCAGGTTGTTAAATGATACATAAAGCAAATTACCAGACTGTTTGGTTGTTGTAGGTGTTTTTGCTATAAAAGCACAGAAGATCTGCTAAATACTGTCACAGACAGCTAATATGATGCATTATAGTAGATGACAAACAATATTTCAATGATATATATTTAAATGTAAATGTAATAACATTCTGAATTGTGTAACCCCATTTTCAGTAATGTATGACTTTCATTGCTCAGACTTAGTTACAATAAATTACGCAAATGAATGAAAAGCATGTTGAACATTTAATGTCACATGAACACAGTCTTTATGAGTGCTGTATAAAAGGAACACTTTAGGAGGCCCTTGTACTTTTAGAGGTGTACAGGCCAACCATGTGCCGGCAAAGGAGGACACCCACCTTGACAGCCTCTAGAATGCGGACTGCACTGGCCAAGTCATTCAACCTCCTGCAGGCTCTCAAAGCAGAGTCCAGGATCTTAGGCTCAGGGACCAGGTCATAACCAATCAGAGTGTTCATGCCTGAAGGAAAAATAACCTTGCTTAAAATACACCACTTTACTCTTTACTGTAAATGCAAATATATTGTCTGGATGTGATTAAGAATGAATATTGTGTGTATTTTAAAAAGGTAAGCAAATTTCTGAAAGGTACTGTTGCTTCATCTGTGACAACTAATTGATCTCTGTAAAATGTGACTGGATTGACCATTTTCTTTAACCAAACTGTAATGGGTAAGTTTCTGTGAGTGAGACAAAATCATGCAGAACATATTAATACTAGGTGTACTAGTGCTGTAGTACCCAAGTCTGGTCTCAAGACCATAAATGGTATTGGTCCTGTCTCGGTCTTGGGATAAGGAGAGTTTGTAAACTGTTCTCGAGACCAGCCAAGTGACGTCTTTATCTGAGGCAATTAGAAACTTTACTTTTTTTCCCTAGCATTATCGAAAATTAACAAAACCTTCAAACAGAATAAATCACGACAAACTAGCATTTTGCCTGAACAGTTAATGAGCTCTGTAAAAATAGGTTTTATTTTTGAAAATAATCAACAATATTTGTCATATTTAAAATTTCATGGTTAAATGTCTATGTTGGAACATTTCTGCATTAAAAAAAGAAAACGATAATGGCCAGTGGTCATTATATTCTGTTAACTTTAGGTGGTGATTCTGAATACATTCTAGAAAAAAGAAAGGACATAGACTAACTTCATCATTTGCTTCTAATACTTACAATGCAAAGTTAAGTCTCATAGCTTATATAACAATAATTAATACGACTTTTAGTTTGTATTAAATAAATGTTAAATAACACAAAATATTATTCATCACTACATAGCACGTATAATGAATAACAACAAATGTCAGCTTTCTCCCCTTTCTTCTCAACTTGACTACTATGAAGTGTTGGTCTTGACTCAGACTCTGTGTCTCACCTGTAGTGGTCTTCATTACAATGCTAAAATAGGGATACATCGATACCTTTTTTTCCAGGCAGAGTACAAGTACGAGTACACACTGTTTAGTACTCGCCAATACCAAGTCTGATACCATACCGAGTAACCTCCTTACAGTTAAGTAGTTGTTAGTGGTAATGAGTGCAATGTACATTAATAGTTAAATCATTAAAATCTAGCTAATTTTTAAATGAAGTGCATTAGCTAGCTATTCTACATTAGTTACCTTTAATCAAGCAGCGAAAGCACGTTTCATAGTTTTGAACCCCAATCTGTCTCTTTCAACATCAGCCTCTATCGCACAGCGACAGTAAGAATCACATCCGAGACTAACACATCTGAGGAGCTCACTTGTGAAGTTTTGTTTTGCTGGTTGAGCTGTAGCTGAACGTCCTCTAAAGCTAGACATACAGTGTGCGATTTTGGAAATCTTGTTCTTTGGTGACTCTCACTGCCACTGTCCATTGTGCACAGACAAAGCCTATGATTTATATACTCACACTGTACAAAGAGAAAACGCTCCGTCCATACTACGTGAAACGCAGACTCTACAGACAGCTCTGTCTATGGAAAATTCCAAGTAAAGCGGTTTCGTTCAAAATGACACACTGCACACTGAGTAATGGGCAAAGAGAAATTGAGCAGTGCTGTTAACACTGTGCACTGAAGCTAAAAGCCAAGCACTGATGTACATAGTAGGACAATACTGTCTCTCTACAGCCTATTTTATATAAAAAAAAACAAAAAAAAAAACCTTAATGTTTATACCTCACTATTCCTTTCAGTCAAACAGAGTAAAGTCGAATATACAAACTCTGGTGGCAAATGTTGACTTTTCTGCCTCCACTTTGACAGCCTGCGTGTCTCCGGCCGTATTGAGGAAGCGGTTGTGACCGTTTAAAACGGGCTAAAACTACACAGTGCAGGTCTGGCAGGAACCTGCCAATGACCGACAGCTTTGTGTCTCTTGTGGCAAATATTTGTAAGAAGTAAATAATTTGTCAAGAAGTATCACAACTTTCAGTGGCTGCCATGCATGACCATTACAATTGTCACGAACAGCCAAAACAGCTTGACCAAAATATGTTCTAAACAGTTCTCCATGCATAGAGAACATCTAAACGAAGTTATATGAGGGGAAAGTGAGTCCCAGCATCCACCTTTGCTCATATGGTTTCTCATAACCACACAGTCTCATCAGCTGTCCCTCTTCCTTAGCTTTATGTATTCGGAGTGCAACTATTATGACAAATGTTTTATAGGACTGATGCAGTTGAATTGGCAGCAATTCCAATCAAGGCCACGTCATACAAATGAATGGATGAGCACGTCATTTATATTTTACCTTTTCTCAGCTCCCAGGCATCAAGGTCGGGCTTGCTGAAGTAAGTCACCCAGCGAGCATCAAACTCCTCATCTGTCTCTGCTTTGGCATGGGAGTAGCATCGAGAGGCTACCAAGGCTGAAAAAGACAAAATTTAGAACTCTGTCACGTTTTCTTTAAAGGGAAATGAATGTTAGATCACTGTGAAAGAGGTCAATGAGAACTAAACACGAGGATCAGTGGCAGCAGGCTACCCATCATAGGCAACAATCACAACAGCAGGTGCAGGAAGAGGCCTCCTGCATTGTGCAGGACTCTACTCACACTACTAATGCACTGTTTACCCCTCTCCCTTCCAGTAGGAGGCTACACAGCATTAAGGCCAGAACTACCAGGCAGAGGAACGGCTTCTTCCTGGATGCTGCAAGACCGACAAATTCTGCATCTCACTGAACAACTGCAGCTACTATTACTGTTATAGTTATCCACATCCGGGCATTGCTGCAGTTTGAGTCTGATAAATTCTGCTCTTTAAGATTGAAAATTCTGCAATCTCTACGGTACAGCTCCTGCCCTCACTGGACAATTTGCTTTTGTAGTTACTATGGCTTCATATCAGGGCACTGCTGCAATTTGGGCCCACCTGGCCACCTTGTCTATCTTTCAGATTTTCATTCTTATTCCTACCCTCACTCTGCTCACTTTACACTTACATTTATATATTTTCCCTACATATTCACCTCTATTTAATGGTATTTATTGTGTGATTTCTTCTTGACTTGTTATTACTGCTACGTGACCCAGAACCTGAGTACTTCATTTCGTTCCCTTTCATGCACAGCATGTTCTGAAATGACAACAAATGAATCTGAATCTGAATTAGTCGCTTTCCTTATGCTAGCCAGTGAGTAAGGAAGCTGTTTTCAGGGGCAGTAAAGTGAAAGCGAACCAGAGCTAACACTGCTTCTTAAAGATGAAGATGTGGACACGATATGAGTGGAAAATCAACTGATCGTATCAGGTCACATTTTGATGTAACAGGTAACATTTTGCACAGGATCATAGTGACTTTAGTGACTTTAAGTAGACTTTACTATGGCTGGGTCATCACAAGGGCATGCTAACAGGCTAGCGAGCTAACATTAGATGGCACCAAAACTATTTTCGGACAGTTCGTTGACCTTGTAGAAAATGTGCCAGTCAGACAAACATAAATAGCAGCCAAAAAAAACTAGCAGGTACCACTAGTGACTCGGACGGCTGATGTTCATGTCGGTGAGCAGCTGCAATTCTCCTTGAGACGCTAGCACGCGCGTTAGCAGCCTGCTAACGCTATCAGGAATCAGAGCCCTGAGCAAATATCAAACACAACTAAGCTTAAAATTCAAGCCACCAGAACAAGTGCTGACCTGAGTAAGAAGGCCGTGTCCGTGCTAAACTTCTGATACCGGCGGCTGAGATGCGGAGAGCAGCGGGCAGCATGTTGCCGGAGCGAGAGACCAATTTGGATCAGACTGGCGATGTTCGACTCGTAAAGGAATCGTCCGTCTGAGCCGGTTCTTTTTGTGGAATCAGTCGAATCAATTCACTAGTCATAACTGAACGGAACTTCACTTCATTTCACCAAGTATGTGACGCATACGAGGAATTTGTCTTGATGAGTGCACACACATACTGAGCACACAGACTGTTAACAAACATTTAACTAAGGGACAAATAAAATAAAAATATAATGAATAAAAAATAATAAAGATCCATGTGAAAGGAGCTACAGAGATGTATGAATATCTGTACGTATGCAGATATGAATATCTAAACAAATGCAGGTCTGGGTAGACATATACTATAATAACTATTATATACAGAATATTACAAAATTATTTTAACATTTGTAAAAATGAACACTGGTACAGCTGTGCAAATAAGAATCATACAGACGAGTTCAACTGTAATACAGTAATGGAGGTTTGTCACTGTGATTGATGAGCGCTACAGCTCTGGGGGAAAAAGGTTATTGTATTATATGTTATTATATTATTAAAGCTTATATTATCATAGTTTTACTTCTACTCAAGTGTAACATGATCCCTGATAGCAAGAAGATAGTGTGCCTTTAAGCATATTACAAAAAAATCCACTTATCATCACTCATTTTCCACTAATTACTTATTTTTCCTTACTTTCTGTCTTTAGTTATACTTTGTAAATTATATTAGTAAAGAATTTTACTGTACAGTGTCAGCAACATTTTTTATAAAATCACTTTATATCAGGCCTAGTCATTATTTTTGTTCTCTCAGTTGTTTGTAATATTTGTCTAAGTTTAGTTTCTAAAATAAAAGTCTCTGTGCATTTTAAATCTGTTTGAGGAGATTAAAAACTAGTTAGAGCTTGCATGCAAGACAGTAATCTGGGTGGTCCGAGGGGGGACCCGCAGTGGCAAACAGTCAGCAGGGTGCCGACATTATCAAGCCAGCGGATCGATATACGCTCTCTGTCTGGGATATTATAGTACAAATAAGTAATAAAATACCACAGTGTAACATTTTAAGAGGAGCAACTTCTTTTAACTCGCTAACATTTCTCTCTGAACCTGCCATGTCTTTCTTTTTAGCTGACTTCCTCTTTCTGTCAGTCTTGTGTCTGTTCTTATGATTCGACTCCGTCAGTGAGCAGAAATTGTAGACATCATCTTTTCTGTCCGAATCTAAGGTCACTGTCTGAAAATGAAAATAAAACAGGAACCGCACTCAGAGCTGAACATCACTGTATTTGGAGAGCAATCTGACTTCAGTTGAATCAGTTCATCATTGAATCAAACAGTTGAAAGAATCGGTTCAGTCAAACTGAATCAGACCGGCTCTAACTGAATCGAACAAGCCCCATAGTGTCGCACAGCGATGACGAAGGCGATCTGTAGCGGTACTGCCAGAGAACTTGTAGAGAGGAGAATTACGGCTCTTCAATGTCTTCCGGTTTTTTCAAACGCTAGAGGGCGCTCCCGAGCGAGTCCAAAATGAATGGGTTGATATGGAGCATTTGAGCAAAATCATAGTTTATAAATGCTTAAACATTTTCAATGTAGACGAATTCGATCATTTCCTGAATACAGAACAGCATAAAACATTTTAACACTGCTGTTATATTTTAAGAGGTTTTAAACTCGAGTTATAGGAGTTTAAAACGGCACCTCATGGATGTTCATGACGTCAGTGAGCGCGAACAGCCAATGATCTGCTCTGCTCGCCGATCAATCATCACGCTCTAGCAGTAAAGCCCGCCTCCTGCTGCACAAAACCCGTTCACTGTAGAAAAAAAGGAAACATATTGGTGAGTTTTCTTTGGTTTTAGTGAAATACATCTTTCTACTTTAGTAGAAGGAAATTAAAGAAACGTTCTGGTTCAGTGATTAGAAACTATTTTAACTGTTCGTTTTTAGCCGTTGAGCTCCATTTACTCCCATTCATTGAGACTCACTCGCGGGCGCCCTCTGCTGTTTGTTTTTAATATAACGGGGGGAATAGGAAGTGGCCAGGCTCCTCATAAACCGGCTCTGGTACTGCTCTATAGACAGACCATTTTTTGTCAAATAAGGAACAAAAAGGAATATAAAAATTTCAGAATATAAATTGAAAAAGTATTTTTAACATCTTTTTTACTTTTAACATATCTTTTTTGTTGTTTTTTTTGTCTTTATTTTAACAAAACACAAATATTTAAAAACAGAAAATACTGGGCACGTATTTAAAATTGAAATCTATGTATTAAATATTAATTTCAAAGTTGACAATGTAACGGGTCAAACAATGAAACACAGGTTTCCTCTGAGAGGCATAAAGAGTGACCCAATAAATTCGAATAGCTTTTAATTTATTAAACCACAAATTGGACAACAACGCTCATTCGAATCACTTTGTCAACAACTGTCACTCCAGAGGTGATATTAAAGGATTCATTAGAGCAGTAAAACAGTGACATAAGCGCACTCTCTGAAAAACAAAACAAAAATAAATAATAGAGAAATTATTTAAAAAATATATAATATATTGACATAATTATATTAAAACAACCTACAAATAAACCTTTATAATAAAATAAACATTTATAATAAAATTATTAAGCATAAAGTGGCAGTCACATTCTTTAGGTGGCTACAATTTAATGTTTACATAATTTAGACTGTAAATTATTAAATTATTGGAGATGAAATAGTGGTGGAAATTATGCCAAAATGTGCTACTATACGTGCAGGAGAACACATGTTCAGCTGTTTCCATAGTGTCTCTACAATATGCTCATTGCTATTACATACTTTTCTGAAAGTGTTAACAAGGACAAGAGTAGCAACACACAGGGCCAGATGGTCTTGAATAAAGATACAGTACCTTACTGCCACATCTGGTAAGTTGCAATCAACAATAGTAGATATGGGGTGTTTCATAAACACTACATGAATGACAATTTTTGGTGTCAGTTTCAGGCGTATATACTAGGTCTGCTTATTCAGTCTCTACGTTTTTAAGGTACATTGTGGGATTTTCCTGTGCCTTAGGACTTTCTGCATTTACTTACCCCAGTTAATTAGGTTTATTCAGAACAGTGCTGATTTAAGACTGTGCTCATATTTAAGAGTTAAGAATAAGAGTATTTTTAAATTTATTTTATCTAGTCTATTATAAATGTCCATGAGTGACACCATCAGTGTCCCTCAAATGTCATTGGAGGAAAAAGAAAAAAAAAAGGTCCTAGTTCTTTATTATCTGAGCAGAGGGCTGTAGCCTGTGTCAGGTGTAGGAACTGCATGGGCGCGTTTTTTTTCTTGAAAATGTGATGCAGTGATTTAATTCTGACACTGGGTGGCGAGGGTGAGCACAAGTTTTCTTTGCCAGAGCCGGTTTATGAGGAGACTGGCGACTTCCTATTTCCCCCGTTATGTCAAAAACAGGTCTGCAAAACAGCAGAGGGCGCCCGCGAGCGAGTCCTGAATGAATGGGAGTAGATGGAGCTCAACGGTTAAAAACGAAAAGTTAAAACGGTTTCTAATCACTTATACAGAACTTTATTTTAATTTTAGACAGTAGAAGGATGTATTTCAGAAATCTTACCTATATATTTCCTTTTACAGCAAACTGCTGGTTTTGGGCAGCAGAACGCAGGCATTACTGTTGGTGAGTGTTGATTGGTTGACGAGCGGAGCAGCTCATTGGCTGTTCGCGCTCACTGACGTCTTGAACGTACGAGGCTCTATAACTCGAGTTTAAAAGCTCTTAAAATATAACAGCAGTGTTAAAATGTTTTATGCTGTTCTGTGTTCATGAAATGATTGTATTATTATACATTAAAAATGTTTGAGCATTTATAAACTATTATTTTGCTCAAATGCTCCATTTTAACCCATTCGTTTTGGACACGCTCGGGAGCGCCCTCTAGCGTCTGAGAAACCCGGAACGTTCAGTTACGTTCAGTTCCTTTCTTATTTGTCTTGTATAGCGTGGATTCCTTCTTTATCCACGCTATGGGTTCTATATGTCTTCAGCGTGTCGCTTTCTGTGGCGGAATTTTAAGTTTGTTAAGCTTCCCCCCCCCCCCTCAGTATATCTACATTTCACCAATAGAGTGCCATTTTCCCACCATAGACTTCATGCACAGAATAAAATGATTAATAAAGTGTAAAGACACAAATGTTATAACGGTGCTATATAACTGTTGATATATATCTCTCATGCACAAATGTTTGTGCACCCCTATTTACAAAGCCACCTTTACTCTCTCATAAGTCTTATAATAAACAGATAAACAGGAAATCATCTACCAGCATGGCTAACAGAAACACAATTGAACAGTGTTGTTCACTCATTCACCACTAGATGGCGATAATTACCATGCATTATATTGAGCGTTGTATTTTTCTAGAGGTAGACCACCTAAAGCAGTATGTTATCCTGCTCGTGGCCACCCACAGCCCTGCACGGGGTCGAGTATTCCTTGACTCAACACACCTGATCTAGCTCATCAGCTATGAGTTTGCTGATAAAATAAAACAGCTAAAAGACATCTGCTGGTATAAATTCACATTGCAGCCTAGACATTTTGGGTTGTTTTCCTGGACATGGATTAAGCCCGGCCTTGAACTGGATTGCAATGCCAGAAGTGATTCATCACCAAAAGCCTGTTTAGTCTATATTTATTTCTGATCTGGGTCTGAGAAATACAGCTTGACACTAATAATGGTCAAGCAGTCAGTCGTATCGATATCACTGAAATGCCATTAGTTTTAGTTCATTATCTTAACAGTAACACATTAAGCAGAACTTGTTTGATGTGTGTAATCTTCTAATACTGTTCAGCAGAGTTTTATTCAGCAGCCATTATCTGCTCCTACAGCTTTGACTTCAGCTTCACAATTACACCCTCAGCTGCACTGATTAATTCAATACGCACACATTTCAGAAAAGCTCTCTGGCTGAACATTGCCAGATACGTACTGCACTGAATTGTGGCAAAATGGCCTAAAACAGAGCAAATCTAGGATCCAGTGATTCCAGTTGCTCTTTGCTTTATATTGCATTATTTGCAAATGTCAGCATCTACTGATACATATATATATATATATATATATATATATATATATCAGTAGATGCTGACATTTGCAAATAATGCAATATTAAGCACACACACACACACATATGTATATATACAGATATGTTTTTAGCAGTATGTAGATTTTCATAGCCAACCATGGAATTATATGCCTTTGAACGAAATATATTTACATATATTTATACTGAATGTTTATACCTCCATTGCAGTTTATAGTTAATCAGAGTCTTATTCACTAACAGATTAAGGAGGGAGAGAGAGAGAATATAAGGATGAAAAATGCCCCTCTTGGCCTGTCCTAGTGAGAGAGATAGAGAGAGAGAGAACAGTGCCTGGAGCAGTCGAACACTGGCTGAAAACATCAGCCCAGTAAATATTCAATTTAAAGGATTTTCAGATAAGAGCGTCTGAAAAATGGAGGCAGCGGCCATTCTTCTAGATAAGAAAAGACGGCACCATCTGGAGGGAGGGAGATAGCGAACTCCCACACCATCCCACAGCCCTCACTCTTATCCACTACGGAGACAGAGGGAGTGGGGAGAGAGAAGAAAAAGTGTGCTTACTGTTATCAGAGGGTCAAATGAATTTATTTTCAACTGAGTAAGGGCTATGGAAAGGTTGGCTGTGCAAACATTAAATACAAAGGGACAGTTCACAGAATATGAAACATTATTATTTCTTCTTTTTTTTTCTTCTTCTTCTTCTTCTTCGTCTTCTTCTTCTTCTTCTTCTTCTTCTTCTTCTTCTTCTTTCTCCTCCTGCTCATCTTCTTCCAGACTTTCCATCAGAGCCTTACTGACACACTCTTTCACACTTCATTAGAGCATCTCTGTGTGGATGCTAGAAGTCAGTGCTTTTTTCAGTTAGCTATCTCAACATGTAAAAGACAGTTCCCTTTCAATAATATATTTCCAGTCCTGCAGATGAACAGCTGTATGCAAAAGTTTGGGCACCCCTGGTCAAATGATGTGTTGATTTTCTAAGTGAAAATAAGTTAAAACATCCTCTACAGAGACCACACTTAAATTGTAGGGCACACTTTCTGTTTATTTGAGTTTAACCTGTTGGAAAGACAATAAAATATACCATAACTTCCACACAGGCCACATTTTATGTTAAATTTAGCAAATAGTCATTAGTTGTATTTTAAAATGTGCAGAGGTGTGTTCTCTGGGGAGAATGTGTTAACCTATTTTCACTTAGAAAATCAAAACATTATTTGACCAGGGGTGCCCAAACTTTTGCAACTTTTTGAAATTATGAGAGATAATTCTGGGGGGCGCAGGATGGTTGTTAAAAAAAGTATACAGCTGAGTTGCAAAAGAGCCGTCGGTTATGAGTTATTGTATAGTGGTCAATTATAGTTTAAAACTCTAATTAAACCAAAAATTGATTACTGTTTAGTTATAAAGAAAGAAGCACTAACCTGCCCTTGAATATTTTTCAACGCTTCTTTACAGTTCTATGTTCGTTTGTTGCCATTAGCGTTATTAATAGGTTTTCCTTTTTCTTCTAAATAAGTATCATATTTATCATTGTTGGGAGTTTTGCTAAAATATATAGCTATTGTAATAGGCAATTGCTATTAATAATATTTATTTTTGCATTTTAATATTGACATATAAAGCATGACATATCAATATGATAAGCATAAATGTAGCGGTTACTTGTTTAGGCAGGTTTACATTTGCATTGCTGTATGTAGACTTTAGCCTCCTGGTGTTGTTCCTGATGTTGCTCCCCCTGAATAAAGGCCATTTGCACTGTGGACATACACTGTAAAGATAGAACAGGGCAGAAGTTGATTTAAAACCTTTTTGAGATTAAGGTTGACGAAAATATTGATTTTGTTCATGTATCCTAAAATTTTACTTTGATCGTTTCATTCAAAGTATTTATTCAAGTTGAATAGAACTAGTTAAACTGTTTATTACAACATGAAAGATTTTTTTAGGCAGACAAACCATTATTTACAGTGATTATCAGACACTTGCCGTGGTAGTTGACATAAATAAGAGGTTATTGACTAAGGATAGTATTATAAATACATATAAACCAATTAATATTAGTGAAGGAACAGAGATTCCCATTTAACCAACGGATAAAGGGATCAGTGATGTGTTTTGAAAGGGACATTGGTAGCAGACTGTATAGCCCAGTGAGACAGCTAGCTCATCTGACCCAGATGCCTTTTTCAAGTCCAATTTGCAGTATTGTGTGAAGAGAACGATGCAGCATCTGTCCCCTTTCTAATTCCTTTGTCACTGTCCTCAGCCCTTTTCTTCAGTTTAACTGAATGTGTATTGGATTCAGCTGATGTCAAAATCTGTGAGCACCTCCATGTGTTTATGTATATGTGAGAAAGACATAGAAGCAGGCCTATAAAGACTGCACAGTATTTGGGGTGAAAGCTGTTAAGGCAGTGATAAAAACACTCACAATAACCTCTTGTTTGTCTACAGCATTCGCGTGGTTTGTTCCATTTGCAGTCTGTGGCCACTCCAATCACTTCCTCCTCACAACCTCGGGTTCAGCGCGGCGCTTTGATTCATTTGCTGAGTTGGACAGGAAGGTTAATTGTATGTCTACTGCAGACAACAGAAGCAGTGAAGATCACTGGAATACTGTTCGGAAGGTTTCCAAAGAATTCCTCCCTATTGTTCGTAGCCATGTGCAACACCACGAAGAGATTGTGAGTACATTCTCAAAATTGGACTGCATTGTGATGTGTCGTACAAACCTATTACAGGGATGTCAGAAACACTTTGATAAATTAAATGCATTAAGTGGTCTTCAGGCTTTAGAGATTTTCATTATGATCAGCAGAAACATCCTCAGGTTACACATGAACACAAAAAAAAATGTATTATAAACTCAGTCATGGCTCAAGAACTTAACTCGGATGAGGCGCCCCGCAGACATTCTGTCATCTTTGTCCTGAAATGATGGATGTTCTATCTCAACACACTGCAGGGAAGTCTAATCTGGCAAAAACGCAGTTCGTGGGCCACACGCTTTGATCTTCCAGGAAAGCCTTGTAGATCTTAACAGCGATGAAGAAATATTAGTTAATCCATTTCTTCAGTACTGTGATCTCAATTCATTTATGGAGGGTAATTGATGATGAACTTTGAACATATCGCTGTTGACGGAAGAAAACCTTGTATCTTCAAAATGATAACTTTACAGGAGAAGGAAAAAACCTACTTTACTTTTAATGTAAGTCAATGGAACAAGACATTTTTTCAAGTCATTTTGGGTCATTTCTTTTAGTCCATTCATCATGAAATTTACATACAATGTAAAAGGCAACAGATGTTTTCACATTATGTCAAAAACTGAAAAACGTCAAAAATGGAGATACAAGGTTTTCTTCCGAAAACAGCGATATCCTTTTGGTGCCACACCAAAGTTGACCATTGAATGGTCCTATAGTGATCATTTGCATATAGTGTTGTAAATGGGGAATTCTACCAATTTTAACAAAATTTCTGAATAAGTAATGGTTAAGATGTAAACAGTCATTCAGAATGATTTGATGTAAAATTCTATGAATACTTGTGATGCAGAATTGTTCACAGCAGTGATGATTTGAACCAGGCGTCAAATTGTTTAAATGCCTCTAAAAGCTACCGCACAAGAAGCTGTGAATGGTTACAAATGCACTGCCTGATGCCTGTCATGCATTGTTTTACAATCGTTTTTGGTCTAAAATATGTTTTTTTCAAAATCCATTCATGGTGGAGAGGTACATGCTGGGCGTTATAAGGCAAATAGCATAAGAATAGCAAAAGAAAACTTTTACCATTGTTTACCATTATTAACATTACATACAAACATGAATCAGTAGAATTCCCTTTTAAGTCAATTCTGGTCTTAAGTTTTCCCATTACTTTACATAAGTTGTGTAAATTCTCTTCAGTGAAAATATTTAAGCAAGAAAATAAAAGCATTGTAAATTGGATTTAAATTTCAGCTTTCCAGTTTTTAAGAATTGCAAACTCATTATTTGTCCCATTATTAAATTAAATCACTGTGTCAAAAACACATTTCTCTAAGAAAGGTGTAATTAATCATAATAGAGCACTGATATTGATAAAGCCCATTTCAACATCTGAAAAAAAAATTTGGAATGAAACCCTTCATATACAGGTGGACACGGCTTTATTGCCATCGACTGAAGCTCTGATTTCTTAGTGTTTCTTCTTCACATTTGCTTAGTGGGCGTATTTATACATTTGGAAAAGCTAATTTGTCATTTATCAGTTTTATTTCTGTCCACCTTTCAATTTGCACAACACAATCAACTCTCAAGAACATCCATCAGTGACTGAGAGTTCCATTTACAGTATTTTATGCTGGTTTCTGTCACATTTCATGGTTATTATCATGAATGCGATTGGATTAGCTATGAATGATTCTCTTCAGAGATGTGACTTTGTCACACAGAAATATGATATTCCCACTCTGTTAAAGTTATTGTAATAAAAAATTTGCTACACCATCACATCATGAAGCATTTTTCTAAATAATTAATTTGCACATCTGCTGGATAAGTGGTCAAAAATGCTGTGCATTTAACTACCATATTCACAAAATGTTGAATGTCATAGCATTAATGGAGCATTTCGCAGTTGTTTTCTCTGTGGCTCATAAGTAATCGAACATTTGCAGTGTCACAACAGAGAAAGGTAATTAGATAATCTGAGAGAAATGAAAACCATCATGCCATCCAAAACTTGACTGTGCCCTTTTTAAAGCACCAAAAACTTACCTATGTTTGTATTTCAAGACTTAAGATGCAAAATGGCAATCATTTAAAAACTCACTGCAACATATTCTTCTAACAAAAACTCATATCCCTAAAATAGTAACTTTATAAGAAAAGGAAACAGCATCCTTAACTTAACTATGTTAATGTTTGAGGATTTTTATTCCGAGTAATTTTGGACAGCTTCTGTGGACCCACTCATCACAAAAATGTTTTCAGTAAAGAAAGAAAGAAAAAAAGAAGAGTCATGAGTTTTTGATATGACAGTAACGATATGCCAATCATCTGCGTATCTTAAAAATGGGCCATACTTCTGCATGATCCCCTAAACAAGTTCAAAGAGAGACCCCACCTTGAGGACAGAATCTTTTTGATTGTGTCTCGCTAACAGTCCGGTCAAATGATCTTTTCGCTGCTGGCTGTGGTACATCTGCACCTTCTCTCTCCTCCCAGAGAGCGCTCTGGGTCTCTGGGGGCTGGTATCCTGGCTCCAGAGGGTCCAGCGGATCCTTGGACAACAGGATACTGATGGAGGGCACAGTCCTGTGGACAGTCATCTCTGCATCACCTCCTTCCTGACTCTCCCACACCTCCTGCACGCCTTTGTACCGCAGTTTGGTCAGCTGGTGCAGTCCGCCCACTTTCCTCTTCATGATCTCGGCGCAGGTGATGGTTTTGGTGACCGCTCGGCCTGACCCTGTGAACACCACCTGTCTTAGTCCGGCCTGACCGCTGTCTCCAGGCTCACTCTGCATCCGGGCCATGGCGAATCCCATCAGGTTGCGGATCTTGCTACCTTCTTTGACCCTCATCTCCAGGACACCAGGCAGTAGCCCTGGAAACGGGCTTGGACTGTCCTCCTCCGTCCGAAGCACCTTCTTAAAGCCGGTTGCAAGACCCTGCTTCACCCCTGGGCTGGGGGAAGGTAGGGTGGCAGAGATGCTGTCAGCAGTAGTTGTCTCACCCTGAAAGGGTAGATATTCGCCCCTCAGATCCATAAGAATGCCTCTGAATCCTCCAGGAGCATTAACCAGTCCAAATGAATCCCCAAAACAACACTGGCTGCCGTAAGTGTTTCCAGCACAAAGACGCTGCAAATCATTCCTTCGCTTCGAACGTTTAAATTACTCACAATCCAACCTGTTCACTCACACTTTACCATCATTCATGGGGTTGTTTTTTTTTCCCCATAAAATGAGCAATCTAGCTTAATTGTAGGTCTTCATCGTGAGCGTTAGTGTTCAGGCTGAAAAGGCATTAACGACTGAAAGCCTCAGCCAAGAAATATTATCTAGTCAGTTAGGCTTTGATTGAAACCATCTCCTACTGCATCTCACGGAGCGCTAAAACACAAGAGAAACACAAATTGCATCTATAATGGCACAAACTAGCAAACAGAGGTGGAATTGAATTAAATGGCCTTAATATAGTGCTGGAAATGAAAATGTTCTCCAACCACAAACTGAAAGAAAACTTTACCTCTGCTTTAGAGATGCAAAGATGAGTTAATAAAAGCATGCAATTTATGATGTGTTCTTCAGATTAACTTTCAAGCAACTGTACTTGATGTCCGACGTATCTTCTCTTAAATCTGAAAGGCAATTTCATAGAAAAGATACTCCTCTAACATCTTTGGTGATTATCAAAAGGCAACTTTGGTCAAGAAGAAACTCTTCTCCTTTGCTGTTCTTCACTGCTCTTCTTTCCTGCTTGAAGCCATAAGCCAGCATGCTCTGCTAGAAGTACCCTTCGCTTTCTTAGCTTTCCGTCTGATTCAGGCTGTGCTGGCACATGTGCTGCTTACGCTCTTTCAAAGCTTGCCAAGCGACAAAAAGTCTGTGCTCCATTTCCCTTCAGAGATGCTGAAGGGAGCAGCGCTGGTGTGTAAATGCGAGTGGGGGAGTGTCTGTGCGGCTTAGTGGGCGAGAGGCAGGGGGGCTGGCTCAGGACAGAATCATCTCAGCCTTCTTAAAGGTGCAGCAGCCTCCTCTGGGTAACAAAAATTCTCATTCAGCATCCAATTCTCACTGCTTAAAGTCAGCAGTCTACCCCTTTAAGAACAAAAGTGCCGGTTCGAGCAACTTGTGTCAATCTATTTAGAGGACGTTCCAGTGCATGTGCTCAATGTACATGACTCATTAACCTGCAGCTCTGAAATAGGGAGTCAGTCAAGCTTGTAAAAATGCATTTTCAGCGGGTGAAACAATGAATGAAATTAGCGCACTTCTAATTGAAAACATCCTTCACAGGGCTGCTGAAAGTCAGGGGCATTAAATTGCACTGTACTTAGCCTTTTATCCTTGTAGATGTTTTTGCACATTATTTGCATAATGTGGTGTTAATGTTCTCAGCACAGAAGCAGTGCAATCTCCTATAGAAAATATATGGTCTTATTGAACACAGAGCATTAGAACTTGCTTTAATCTGGTGTAAAGACATCATATATGTCACATATTAGACATTTTGTTCTTGCTTGAATTACAGAACATTAGTGGTGTCATGTAAAACATAGGGTTTTTTCAAAAGATCCCAAAAAACAGGTGTGGCGGTTAGTGCAAACCTCAGGTCATAAAAGATGAGGCAGTATGTGAAAGTAAAACAGAGCGATTAGTAAATGCTGTTTGACCTGTGCTAAACAAAATAGTGTAAAAACATGAATCACTGAAAGCAGAATTTTTGGCGATTCTTCTGTTGTACAAGTCGTAAGCTGCACAACATACGAGCCCTTCATTGTCATATTATGTGCTTTTTAATGTGCCACGTTTACAATAGGAGACAGGTCTGGACCGCAGGCAGGCCAATCTAGCACCCACACTCTCTGATTACGTAATCATGCTGTTGTAACATGTGCAGAGTGGGGCTCGTCATTGTCATGATGAAATAAGCATGGATGTCCCTGTAAAAGACATTGTCTGGAAGGCAGCATATATTATCCGTGCCACAGGCAGCAATACGCCCCTATACCATATTAGACCCTGGATTTTGAACTTTATGCTGGTAACAATCTGGATTTCCCTTTTCTTCTTTGGCTTGGAGAACACAACAGCCATTATTTCTATAAACAGCCAGAAAAGTGGACTCTTTAGACCAAGATAAACATTTCCACAGTGCATCAGTCTATCTCTGAGTCCAGAGAAGTCGGCATTTCTGGACATTGTTGACATATGGCTTAATTTACATTTGTGCAGCGATCATTGTGATGATCAGTGGTTTGTCAAAGTATTCCTGAGCCGATGTGGTGATATCCATCACAGAATCATGTCTGTTTTTTAATGCAGTCTGAGGGTCTTGCTATTTACACACAGAGATTTCACTGGATTCTTTGATTTTTTTTAAAGATATTATTCACCATAATAGGGAGCAAAATGCCTAAAATCTTTGCGATCGTTTGTTGAGGAACATTGTTCTTAAACTGTTGATTATTCAAAGTGGAGAGCCTCCACTCACCCTTGCTCATATAGGACTAGGCTTTTCCTGTAGCCTTTTTTTACCCATGCAAGATTGCGTAGCGTCCTGCTACTGGCTCGTTCAGCCATGGATGAGCAAGAGGTGTGGCTATGCGAAGCAATGAATGTGGAGCCCCCTGGGAGAACGCTGGACACGAAGTAAGAGAGAATTGTAAATAGTTGTTGCTGTGGCTTAAATGCTGTGCATATGTGCTTATTGGGGTGTGATTGTTTATGACCTCCCTGCTATCCTGTCCATTCAGTAGCACTAGGCGGCTGAATCTTTCTGCTGCGTGTTCAATAAAAGAGCCTTTACTCAAAAGTGCTATGGTTCCCACATCTCCTTCTTAGCCAAATTGTCACAATTGCATCACCTGTTTAAGATGACATTTTTGAACATTTCAAAAGTGTTTCTAGTCTGAAACTCCTGTTCCAACTTTTTTGGAATGTACTACAGGCATTCATTTCAAAATGAGTGAAATTAAAGTTGATAAAGTTAAATATTTAATAATATTTTTGGATTTACATTTCACTGCTTTCTGTTTTCTGTTTTTATTTGCATTTTTTTTTATTTTGTATTTGTCCCAACTTTTTTGAAACTGAGCTTTATAGATTGCTCCATGCTATTTCCCAGATGTAAGGCAAGTGTTTTTTGTGCACACCATAAAATCTTTGAAACGCTGATGATACAAAAAGAGGAAATAAACAGTCACGCTTTCTGGTCTCAGTCCTCCATCTGATTTGCAGAGTTTAAAAAATGTCACCCTCATGTTTTTTATCACCTCAGTATACTGCATTAATACTACTCCGAGGTTCTTTTGCCGTATATTTTCCATGTTTGTGTGGGACTGTATTACTTTGTGGTTGAACCTGCACAGACAGCAGCAGTCTGAAGTCGCTCTCTGGAGGACAGCTGGGTTAGTCAGCACAGGTGATGGACATGTGGTTAAATGGGTAAAGGCAGGCCACTCAGCCTGAAACAATGAGCTGTCTCAGAGAGAGAGAGAGAGAAAGAGAGAAAGAGAGAGTGATGTTTGCTTTTTGTTTTTTCATGTTTTTAGTACATCAGAGATTTACAGAATTACATATATTCAAGTAAAACTTCGAAGGATTTGTACTTTCCTGAGAACAGAAAATCGACTTTTTGTTAAATTTTAGTCCTTCATATTTAGTTGCTAACTCATTTTTTTCTAGTTTTCTAATTAATTTTTGTGCTTTAATGTTATATTGCTATCTTGCTTCATGACTGATCACAACTCTGACCTCTGGGGTTTATTATTTTTTGTTCTGAACTAAAAGGATCCCAAAAAAAGAGAAGACTTGATAACAGAGATAATAGAGATAATTACTTGAGTCATTATTTAAGCAGAATAGCAATACTTCTATTTGAGTATCGGTTTAGGCTACTCCACTCTCTGCTGTAGTACATACATCATATTAGATAATGGAGCGAGAATTTAATGAACTTTGTTACAGGGTAACAACATTCTCTTGAATGTTCTGTTGAGATAAAATCAATATGCATGTGTGTTATATTATTTATATTTATATTTTGTTTTTTGTTAATTTGCTGTTGCTTCCTTACCTGTGAATGTATATTTGTGTGCAGTTCTACTTTTGCCTGTGATTATGTCTTAGTTAAATACACTTTATCCGTAACAGGATCAACGCCAACAGCCCCTCTTGTTTATTCCCACAACAGAGACAGTGAGTTGGGGGGGTGGAGGGTGGGGGGTGTGGTGTCTGTGTGTGTGGCAGAGTGATCATTCGGCTGTTTGGGAGAAATTACCCTCATCATTCATAAAGAGATGCACAGCTGCCTGCAGGGAACCAGCAATGTTCCTGCATTATAAACTCTCTCTCTCTCTCTCTCTCTCTCTCTCTCTCTCTCTCTCTCTTTCTTTCTCAAATCTGACAAGTAAATGGATAATACCACATTGCTTCTGCAGCATATTCCTACATTGTGACAGAATTAATTTGTGCAAGAAAGCTTTCGAATGATACAGGGGGAGGGAGAGCCTTTCAGCAAAAGAACGATACTGGCTGTACAGCGTATGTGGAAAAGGTATTTACCAGTGTTTTCTATTGTTTTTTTGTTCAACAAGGCTGACACAGCCTGTTTTTGTCATTAAATCACATTAATCAAGCTGAATATCATTTAATTTATATATATATATATATATATATTTGACCATGCCAATTACAGCACCATGGAGACCATCAAATCAAAACACAACCGGCTGCTTATTTACGTCATTGATGTGAATGAAACTATAAAATTGCTTATAATTGCACAGGGCAAAAGTAAACCAGTTGTCTCTTGCTGATGTCTGGCCAAAATAAATAAAGGATAATAAATTCTGATGTATTCAGTGGCTAATAGAACCCTATAATTTAGCCCTAGATGGCTATACAACCCCTCTTAGCTTGTTTTTAATGCTGAATTGGAGAGACAGAGAATAAAAGGTCATGTTTAAAGTAATAAAACATACAAAAATGTGAAACTGAAAGAAAATGAAAGAAAACACACACAGATCATTATATAAAATTGTTTAAATTCACTCACAGGTAAATATTGCTGTATTTACCTGAAAGTTACCAAGTTCTGTGGATGAGAAATGCACATTCTGAATCAGCCGGTCACTTTACCTGAATGTGTTTCTCTTTTTTTGTAAATGTTAGGAGAGATGTGAAGTAGGGTAGTTGCTGTTTGAATAAACTTTAAAAGCAGAGAACAAATGCAGATAATGCAAAAGTAATGGGCTTTAGGACAATCATCAGTACTGAAATTTTGATATGTGGCATCTAATTGTTGCATTCATATACATTACATCACCATAATCCAACATTAATAAAATTACTGAACAACTTTCTTTTTATGTATAAGACAAGGTCTTTATATATATATATATATATATATATATATATATATATATATATATATATATATATATATATATTAAACAATTTTATAAACCAATTTTCCAATGTTGTACAACTTCATATAAAATGAAGAGTACCAGCCCATTGATAGAACCCTGTGGAACCCCATTAACAATTCCCATGAGTGATTGAGTTTATCAAACTGAGAGTCTGCTCAAAAGCAGAGATGAAACATTCATGTATACAAAAGTTCAATTGTGATAGATTTATATTGTTTCATTTTTCAAACAATAAATACTCTATTTT